TCGTTGAAGATCCTTATAGTAGTTCAATGCATCGGTCTCAACAATTAACAAATAGTAAGATTATGATATCACGTTGTCAGATAGATCTATTTAATTTAATATTTCAATAGCCTGTTATTGGTTAGTAGATTCAAATGATTGTGTTTTTAATTCGAGTAATAAATAATACACATCTTAATAATTCAGGAAACTATATACTTATATTATATCAATATTATCGCATGACCAAGCGACGTTGTTGATTTATACAAATAATATAGCGTAGATTTTGATTCGCCATGATCCGGGAACAAGAAATTAAAGACAGATATGACAAGAAAGACAAATGACTCTCTAATTGCAGATAATTAAAGAGAAATTGTTAAAAATGCCCTTTTTTCAATACCCCTTTTCAAAAATGCCCCTTTTGAGAGTCCATTTTTAAGTTTGCCCTCTTTTAATTTTTAATGACCATTTTACCCTTATTTGAAACAAAATTAGGTCCACAAAATACAAAATATTTTTTGGCGGGAAAAGTGATCCCACAATTTTCCCGCCAAAACACTTGTAAAAACCTTTTAAAAACCTTGTAAAATTTTTCCGTAAAAATTTTTCCCGCCAAAAAATTTTCCCGCCAAAAAATTTTTTTTGCGGGAAAAGTGATTCCTGGCAATTTTTTTTGCGAAATTTTTTTGGCGGGAAAAATTTACAAGGTATTTAAAGGTTTACAGAGTATTTACAAGTGTTTTGTAAGGTTTGAGAATGTATTTTAAAAGGTTTTACAAGGTACTTATAAGGTTTTATAAGGTATTTATAACTTGTAAAACCTTATAAAAAACTTGTAAAACCTTATAACTTGTAAAAACCTTATAAAATAGCTTGTAAAATCTTATAATATCTTATAAATACCTTGTAAATACGTTGTAAAACCTTTTAAAATACATTGTAAAACCTTATAAATACCTTGTAAAAAACCTTTAAAATACCTTGTAAATTTTTGGCGGGAAAAATTTTCCCGCCAAAAATTTAACGCCAAAAAATTGCGGAATCACTTTTCCCGCAAAAAAAAATTTTTGGCGGGAAAATTTTTTGGCGGGAAAAAGTTTTACGGAAAAATTTTACAAGGTATTTTAAAGGTTTTACAAGTGTTTTGGCGGGAAAAATTGCGGGATCACTTTTCCCGCCAAAAAGTATTTTGTATTTTGTGGACCTAATTTTGTTATATTTCCTTATATATTTGTGATATCTTTTATTAAAAGAAGGGTAATTTAGTCATTTTGTACATAAAAAGGGGTATTTTTAAAAGTGGATAGCCAAAGGGGACATTTTTGAAAAGGGATATTAAAAAATGGGCATTTTTGTGAGTCTCCCATAATTAAATCTAATTACGCGTCATTAAAATTTATAAAAACATCTTTCTACAGTTGGAATGATCAAGCTGACCTGGCACATATATGGGAACCACCTTCGAGCCATTGGGCTGTCACGGCCCACCTAATACCGTCGTCTACGAAGAATCCAACGACATAGACGGTGCCACGTGTTGAACACTTTAGCGGTCAAGATGAAAACCACGTCATCAAAATCTAGAGCGAACCACCTGTCTCGGGGCGGCCTGGCGTCAAGATCCTAACGAAGATTATGTTTCATCTGACTAATCACGTGCAACGGCCTTGTTGCACACGTGCGACGGTCAAAACATTAGTATTTGTACTTGTTAAAATTTGAGGAATTTACTGACTGTTTTTATTTGTCCGACAGAAAAAATCAACTATAACACTCTGTATTTTTTGTTCAAAAAAAAAAAAAAAACACTCTGTATTCATGTCTAAATGTATTTGCAGAGAATGGTATCGAAATAAAATACACTCAAAATATTGTTTTTGGAGTTAAAATAGAATAATAGATTAATCCAAACTGGACAACTTGGAGTTTGAGAAATTGGAAAACTTTCTTATATCGTGATTTACAACTGGAATATGAACATAAAACATTCTAGAATAATATATTCTTTCAAGAGAAAAACAGAAGATAATGGCATAATGCTATGGCTGTGACTGGTTAAAAAGTTAAAAGAAATGAAAAGAAAAAATAGAAGAAAATAAATGTCACATCAAGAAGAAAAATGAATTCTACTAGTTTTGAGGAAGGAAGAATTCCTCTCCTTTAGTTACTTTTTGATGTTTTCATCTGAAATAATTTTCTTCTGATTTTTTTTTTACTGGTGCATGCCAAGAAAATAAAAAATTTTCCCTTTTTCACTTTTTCTATTAAGGGTGATCAGTCACACCCTATATTTACACTAAGAAATTTGACATGACAATCTTTAAACGATTATTCTTTGTTGTTAACCAAATATGAATGATGAAATTATGTGAAAGCAATTAGAAGAGAAAAGACAAAGAAGATGGATGACCGATAAGTCAGGTAGCCGTCCGCCGACCTATTACGTACGCATCAAAGCAGAAGACTCGTAAGTCCTATCTTCCCAAATCCAAATCACACAAAAGAACAAATAATTTTTCAAAAAAAATTATGATTTGATAATAGAATGATATTGTTTTAAGATTACAAAAACAAAGATAAGATAGTCTTCACACATTTATCAAGTTCAACGAGATTTGATAGTATTTGTATACAACTTTACATTCAAAATAAAGCTAGTTACTTCATTTTAACAAGTCGAGATAATTCATCCAATAATCTTGTGTGCATCTAATAAAAACCTGTGAAAATAAGCATTCTTATGCGTCACTCTAAATTGGTACGAAAAAAACATATATTAAAAACCAAAAATATTCAAACTTGCTTCGGGATAAAAAGAAAACAAAAGTGTACGTATCGGACGGAGCGGATCAAGCGTATCAAGCAGAACAAAAGCGGATCAAGCAGATCTAGCGGTATAACTGCGGATCAAGCGGTTCGAACGCTTTAAGATGTGTTGAATGGTGCAAGCGGATCAGGTAGTGGGTGAAATATTTATATTATAAAAAATATTAGTTTTATATAAAATATTACATAATCTATACATAATAAAAACAATTATATTAAAATAATTTGCAATATTGGTTTAACATATTTTGAATATGTATTTAAAAAATTTATAAATGCACTAAAATATTTAACCAAACAAATTTAGTTTATGTATTATTTTTTTATTTTTGAACATCTAATTATATTAATTCAAAGATTTTATATAATATAACAATATTATTAAGTGTTTTAGGTACAAAATAATAACAGAAAATTATATAATTCAAAGATTTTATATAATATAAAAATATTATTAAGTGTTTTAGGTACAAAATAATAACAGAAAATGGTGTCAAAAAAAATAATAATAATAATAATAACAGAAAATAGTTATAAATATAACATATGTAGTACATTGAATTAATAATCCATGACTTTTTTTTAAAGTAATAGTCATGATAAATAACAAATAGGTACATCATATGTAGTGTATTAAATTAATAAGCTATAATAAATATAATATATGTGTGAATGCTATAAAGTAAATAATTATGTGAAAATATTGATAAGCGGAGCAAATACACCACAAATGTAGCGTATCTACCGTATAAGGTGGATCAAAAATTTCTTTCACAAATTCTGCCCATTTTAACTGTAGCTCTTCAAAATATTAGTTTTTTATTTAACTTTTTTAAAAGTCACTTGATTAATAAACAAGCGTGAATGGTAACACAAGAAGCGTTACGACCAGGGGCGGACCCACGTTATAGGAGAGGGGTGCAACTGCACCGGGTAAAATATAAATAGTTTTGATTTTACATAGAAAATATTGATTTAAAGTGGTCCAGTGGTTAAGACTGCACTCCTAAACTATGAGGTGGAGGGTTCGATTCCACTCTGAAGCATTTTTTGCACCGGGTAAAGTTTGTGGCTGGGTCCGCCACTGGTTACGACCGCTCCGTCCAAAAACCACTCTTGAACCGCCACTCCATTTACACCCTCTGGTTAAAACTGGAAATATATTTGTGTAACCAAGAGTTGTGACTGTAGTGTACTTTTGACATTGCAACCTGGTTATTGTCCAATGACAATCCTGAAGAAACTATTAACTTTTGGTCACGACACCACAATATGAATCGTGAAATACAAATATTTATGGGGGTTGGTGACGTATGCAACTAGCTAACAAAAGCATGGTCATAGAGAAGAGGAGCTCACAGATATTGATGTAACAATATTTCCTTTGTTCTGGTGAAGAATCAAAAGCCCATTCCTCAATAAGCCTTACACCAACGTCTTATCAGTCCAGGTTTTACCAAACCCATCCTTCTTACTATTGATTAATTCAAAGCTGACACCGAAAACAAAAGTTAGATTTAAATTATTATCCATTTAATTCATAATCTAAGACAATTTATTTTGATTTTGTAGGTTAACGTGCGGGATATATCTTTTGATTCGATGTCAAGACCGCGCGCGGCAAATCTTGTGGTTATATTTACGTGCGAGTAATTTAAAACTATTAAGTAATTGTTTTGTTTTCTTGTAGTATCTATTTTGTTCTAGGTCTTTAAATTCTGTATTTAATAGTAACGAATAGTACGTATTTATCCGAGTTATATTAAATTGGAGAGATCAAGTTGAAGTTTGCAATACATACGTATTTTAAAAGAAATGATTATATATACACTTTATTGGACATTTGGACTTACGTATTAATGGGTTTCAAAACTACGAATACGTCTCTTTGTCGTGTAAACTTGAAAGGGAATGCCCATGCTCTTCTTAGTTTTGGTCTTTTCTTTCGTATTTTTCTGCTTCATTAATTTTTCGATTTACAAATAAGTTTATTTTTATATTGAAATAAAGAATATAAAACTGAAAAGTAATGCTTTATTATCAGATTTAACAGTCATACGTCTTCATCGTTGGCAGAAATGAACCCAATTGATTTTGAGTTTAGATTATATTATTATTATCTCTTTTTTTTTTTTTTTTTTTTTTCTGCTTTTTAACTAGTTACCAACTTAGAAAATTAGGGTCCGCTAAGTACTGAAGTACACTAGATGATTCGAGGATTTTCATATATTTTTATTCAAAGTCGTGATTTCATTTCATGTCCATAACGTAGCGTTTTCATGCATTAGATTAATTTGTTGGCGGTGCCTATAATTAACAACTACGTTATACTATTGCGTATATAATATATCTATTGAAAACGTTTTAAAACTTCGTAGCATATACAATGACTTCATCATTATATTAAACCACGAAGATAATAATATAAATGGGCCGACACCTTTCAAATAAATTATACCATAGGCTTTCACTAAATAGCCCATAGATCACATATGGGAAAAACTTTGGTTAGTGGGTCTTAAGTGACTTATTAACGTCGTTGAGAGAATCTACGAGATGATATTGGTACTGTTTGAGCAACATAACCTCATCATGCAATTGAACGAAATTGTTCTTCATTATGTCTTCGCAATCTTTGATGGTTGTCTCATTAACCTCTTCTTTCATTAATCTCTGTCTTAGCTTATCGGTCGAGACTGAGACATTAGTCGTCGATGCCATTAGTTCTTCGTTTGACATTCTTGGAAACGTGTCTTTAACAGCTTTCAGAGCTTCGATCCAAGCGATACGATCCTCGCTCGTTGCTGCGCGTAAATGCAGACTCTTCGTGCCAGTGAATACTGTAAATCTCTTCCCGTCTGATATGCTTTGTCCAATCGATGAGACCTATTATAAAACGCCAACAAGTCTGAAAATTACATATGTAATCTGGGTTTGTATTTGATCAATTGAAAATGTTACATTTACATTTAAATTATTTTGAAAATAATGGAGCACTTATGCAACAAGGGGTGTGGCTGATAATTTTAAAATCTCTGGGGTCACATAAAATAATTTTAAAATCTCTGGGGTCACATAAAATATTAATTACTGATGAACTGACAAATGTCACAAATCATATGCACTTGGTTGTTTTAGATCAAATTAAAACGTTTTGGGGGTACATTTGAATACAGAGTGTGTATTTAAATAAACCGAAACGTTTAGGTGAAGTTACCCAAAAGTAGGGGTTTATCTTATAGTTTCAAAATGTATGGGTTGTATTTGAAACGTATGTAAAATACTGGGGTGTTCTGAAATAAATCGAAACCTTGAGGTGAATTTGGCCGAGAGGTTTCCCGGGGCTATGAACTTCACCGCGTTTGCTATGTCGGCAAATAAACCGTAAAGATTCGCCGCCGATCAATTTAGATCTCCGGTCCATTTCAACGGAGAGAGATATTTTATCGGGACCATGGATTCTATAATACGAGAAAACACCGTCCTGGAGAACGAACCACCGTCGTTTCCATCCTTGGCCGTAGTTTACCCATTTGTAGAGGATTCCGGCGACGCCGTTCCCAGACGGTGGTCGATCTTCGTTTGTACGAGGACCAGCGGAGTGACTATATCGGAGATCGTGGTTGTGATTGGTACGTGTCGAATGAGGGAGGTTTAACGAAGCAGATCGAGTCGTGGTTAGGTTAGATTTCGCGGCGAGTGGAGATGAAGACATTGTTTGAGAACGATTGGAGAAATTAGGTTTAAGGAATATAACCGGTGGTTGAAAGGAGAAGGTGAGAAATAAAGGGGAAATTAATTTGGAAAGTGCGAGGGTTACGTGGGACGCAAGATTGCTTGAGGTGCTCTATTTGTGGGACAAAAAAAAAACGATTAGAAAATTTGCTCATGGTGAGAACTTGCTTTCTAGGATTTCAAAACTAGTTTGGTGTGAAATTGTGTAATTGACACACTACAAAATTGTTAGAAAATAAAGGAGGAACTGAATTATGTGAATTTGGCTAATGAAAACATATCAGCGACGTCGTTTCAAAGAATTCGATGAAACGACGACGTTTTAAATCCGTGAAACGACTTCCGTTAAGAGTGTCGAAGAAACGATGTCGTCTAGAGAATGATGTAAAACGGCGTCATTGTTGCGTGATGTGTATTACTATTTAAAGTTTCATCTGCTAAAACATGAAAAAAGACGAGCACCCAAAATGATACATTCCAAAACAAGAAATCAAACAGGACATTATAAGCAAACGTCTTCTTTCCAATCTAACAATTAACATACCAATTTACAAGATTCAAAAGCCGTAAAATCAGATCAGTACTGCTTACTTTCAAGACCTCATAACCGATCCTTGAGTTGAATACAAAGTTCTGAAACCCGAAAGAGAAGTTGCTGATTTTGATCTCTTGAATCTAAGTGATCATTTCTTGGAAGAGGAGCAGGATTTGTAAGCAGTTGTTCAAGCTGAGAGATCATGGAATTGGCTTTATCGTCATCACTAACACAAGATTCAGCTATGAGACTGAGAAGTTTAATGATTTTGACTTGAGGCTCGGGTGGGATGGGCGGCGCAAGGAAAGGATGTTGGAGAAGCTCAGGGATTCTCCATCTTTGGTTACGGTCCCAAGCTAGACATTTCTTCATTAGGTCGATAAGCCATGGGTTTGAGAGTTGATTGTAAGTAATCTCGTGGTTTGGATCGGTTATGACTTTGAACTTTGCCCAGAAGGTCTTATAATCTGCAAAAGGTGTTCTTCCATATACCATTTGGTATAGTATGCAACCAAGTGACCAAATATCTGATGGTCTTCCACATTTTATAGTGTTTCCATTCTCGTCGCTTTCGTTACACATGAATGCTTCTGGTGACATGTAACTTAAAGTCCCCACCTGCCACGATACATACATACCTCCATTAATACCAGCAGCTTGTAAACTAAATACAAAACAACTCTTCGTTTTCAAGAGGAGGATGATGACAAAAACAGAAACATGGGAGGGCATTACCTGTGAATCTCGTTGAATATTCGTAGTATCGCTATTGATGGCCTTAGCGATTCCAAAATCAATAAGTTTTAGAAAGCCTCGAACAAGAAGGAAATTTGCAGGTTTCAAATCAGAGTGCACAATGCGCTCCTCATGTATGGTGTTCACAGCTTGAAGTATTTGCTGCAATTGTTTTTCAATTCATACAAGAATCAGAGATTTTTGAGCAAAAAGGCTCTTCAGTGAATAAATAATATTTGCTAAAAGAACAAACTGAAAGAACTCCAATGCAAAAGAAAAGATATAGTTCAGTATCATCACAAAAATAACTTGATGGGGTTGTGTAAGAACCTGCCAGTAGAACCGAAGCCAATTTTCATCAATTGTCCGGTCAGATCCTTCAATTTCCCTCCATTTTTGGGATAACATGTGTGCCAGATCGATTTCTCCATATTCTAGTACCATATATATAAATCCATCGTCCTTAACTCTTCCATCTTTGTTACTCATTGTGCCATTCAAAACCTCCTGGAGTAAAGTCTTATCCGTGACCTAATTGCAATAGAAAAATACTGTTATGGCTGAGATGGAAATTGTCAACCATGCACTTTAAAACTAATAGGGAATATAAGTGTCCCATGGATCAGAACACGAACTTAAAGGAAGTACCTCATAGTCTATTAGCTGAATGATGTTGGTTTTCCCTTTCAGCTTCTTTAGATATCCAATTTCCTGGCAAAATCCATATGCTGTAGCATAGTCACGACCCTTGAGCTTGATCTTTTTTAGCGCATATATGGTACAATCTGAAGAAATAACCTTGTGGACTTCACTGCTTCCTCCACTTCCTATCTTGCCAAGCCTCTGATAAAGCTTCCCATTGACTTTAAAGAACAAGTCTGGATCATAATTTCTTTTACGAGGCGCTGATGGCCCTTTGCTACTTGCAACCTTTTCCTGCTTATCTGATTTCTGTGGCTGTGAGCTAACACTGGTAAGCAACTCATCAGGTAGACGAGCATTCGCTTGTCCGTCACCCCCATGACTGGAAGATCCCACTGGAGCTTCAAGTTCTGTGGTGCACTGTTGCTGCTTGGACTTATCTCTCTCTTTGACTCTTACTTCTGGATCATTAGTTGAGGCTGGTATCGCTGATGGAGGGGCATCCTTATTGGTATGTAGTATGTTGCTGTCCTTGGAAGAAGGATAACAAGAAGGCAAGTTCCCTTGACTTTGAACAGCATGGGGATTTGCACTCGAATCAGCCTCTGCATAAGAACGAGAAACGTGGGTAGTGGCATTTAGCATAGGACCTGAAGACGAATGGATTAGCGTAGTTGTGGCACATGATGACCCCACAGCAGAACACTGAGTTTTAGGTTGGTTCAAGAAGTTGCGAAATTCACCCAGCTGACCGTGGTTCTTTGCCAATGAAGATGAAACCTTGTATTCAGATTTCAAACTGATCTCAGAATCAACAGATTGGAGATTCTGACGTTTTGATCCGATACAAGCACCAAGATGTGATGCTTCAGCCTGATTTGTTGCATCCCATTCCATATCTGCCAGGACAAGTGAGTTCAAAGTAAGATTAATAGCTCAACAAACCAACTGTAACCATGCCTGTGTAAATTGAAGTGAGCCGAGGAGAAAATACATGACAGTGGTCAAAAAGTATCGAGTAAAGTATCCCCCTGGTTCAGCTTTTGGACAATTTTCCAGTATTGCAAAAGCAAAGCAAACTAATTCAGGCATTACCTTGAGATGTGAGGGTGCTACCAATGAGAGATTGGAACTTTCTCTGGTCATTTTCATTCTGAGATCCAATATCAAGATTGCTTCCTAGACTAGCAACAGCAGATTTTCCAAAATCCAACTGTCTGTCTGATGGGTTGAAATTCTGACCAAACATATTATTAACAGTTCCTGAAACTGAAGGTGGCGTAATAGACGCATTCTCAATAGATTCTCCAGCAACAGAAGTGGCTAAATTGCTTGTATCCTGTGTCAAAGTATTAGCAGCAAGACTCTGACTGAGCGTAACAACATCCTGAGATCTCTGCCCTTCAGCTGTAACCAAACGTGTATTTCTTGAAGCTTGTCGTTGTGGAGCAACACTCCGTCGAGGCCCGATAGTGGTCGTCTGCATTTTACCTGGAAAAAAAAAACAGAGCTATAAGAGATCCATTGCAACTCACTCTCAAGTGAAGAGTTTAACATACCAAAAAAACAGCTAAAATTTAAGAACAAATAGCGTCTTCACAATTGTGAGTTCGTATTAATAATCAAAAGGTTTAACAAGCTTATCATATTACCCACATCACAAACTCAGTAAACCATTATAAAAAGCGTAGACGGAACTTAACTTTCCCAAAAAACCCTAAATCGTCAAAAGAGATGAGACTATGAGAGAAATGCTAAAAACCCAAAGAAACCCTAAATTAGTCAAATTAAACTTCCCAGAATTAGAGATTTCGACCCAGAAAGAGAGAAGAGAGTGGGAGAGAGTACTGAGTGGGCGATGGCGTTTGAAAGCGGCTTGCAAGTGCCGTAGAAGTTCCGGCGAGGAGGAGGAAGAAGACGAAGTGGTTTCCAGGTTTAAGATGGGACGAACCAGACTCTTCGGAGGTTTATCCGGTTGAACCGGAAGGTTAGCCTCCCTGTCCATGGCTAAATCTCAACTGCATCTCCGACTTGCTACACCGTAGATTTTCCGAAACGAGAAACCACAGAGATGCAGTAGCAGAATTCAAAATTCTCAATTTCTGGGTACAGCTCCAATTCTCGCCATCGCCGTCGAAGTAGATATCTCTAGACACAGAATTGGTTTGAAATTTTTGGAGGAAAGGAGCAAAAAAAAACCCAGAAAAGGTTTGAGATTCGAACTCCTTATTGCCGCTTCTCCTTCTCTCTTAAAAATTCAATCCGAATTGATTAGATTTAAGGTCCATTGGGCCTTCTTCGCCTATTAAGCGGTGAAATGGTTGGGCTAATAATGGGCCTAATAATGCTCTTTCCTCGGCCTGGTTTAGTTTGTTTTCTTTCAACAATAAGGAAAATAAATCAGTAATACTAACGAACGCAACGGCTAATTGTCAAATCAATAATGAGAAGACAGTCGAACGTTGTTGTTATAGCCGTTAGTGAAGATTTTATAGCCGTTGGTGAGATTGCTATAAATACTCCCTTAAACCCTATCAATTTCATTAACAACAACAACTCATCTCTTCCTTCTCTTTTTAAATTTCAATTATTCTTCTGTTCAGAGAGAATGAGAGTGAGAGAGAGAGACATCATCCTCACCATGTCGTCCACGTTTCTCCCGTTCTTCCTTCACTACGATAAGTCACGACCATGCTTTGCTCGAACCATCAATCAGGTAATTAAGCACCGTTGAATTAGCAAAACTCTGATCTTTTTTAAGTTTCAGCTAATGATGAATTTGCTTTGGTCTCTTTTGCAGTTATTTTTCCCGGAGCACTGGAGATTCGGTTTCAGAAAACGGCGATCCTACTCTGAATCACAAAACGAACTCTGTATGACATGTATGTTCCCATCCCTTTTGTCTTGTTATAGTCTTCATGTTTCCGTTAGTGATTCTCAGTTTCTTCTACGTTTTAGATTTGCGATTTCAGTTTTTTTTTTTCTTTTTTTTTTTGTTTAAAATTTACCCACTTTCTTTAATTAACGTATGCACAAAAGGTATGTGAAATTTATGTTATTAACATGTGCAGTTTGATTTTTGATTATAGGAGAATTTTGATAATCAATACGGCGAAGAGACTTGCGACTTACGAGGATTATACTGATATAAATCCAGGTAATGCAAACTCTCCGTTTTCTTGGGAAGTCATTCATTTGCAATCGTGGAGTTAAAGTCGTGTAGGTTTTGTGTAGGTGCATATTTTCTCGAGATAATAACAACCATTAGTTTGCTTTGCTTTTGCAATACTGGAAAATTGTCCAAAAGCTGAACCAGGGGGATATTATGGCATGGTTACGGTTGACCACTGTCATGTATTTTCTCCTCGGCTCAATTCAATTTACACTGGCATGGTTACGGTTGGTTTTCTGAGCTAATATTCTTACACTATCTCGGCATGTGACATACTTGAATTTGTTTTGGGTATCAATAATGAATGACTTTACATTTTTAAGAAAAGGAAATTTCCTTTTTGTGCTGATGAATTTCCTTTTTTTTCTTTGTGGTTTTGAAAAAACACAACTTTTTTTATGAAGATCTGGATTCACCGCCGGAAAGGTCAGAATCTGCGGGAGATGACTTTCCAACACAACGAGGCTTTTCAGATTTTCCAACTACGACACAATTACACGGTGGGCTTGGAAATGGGCATTTTTGTATGGGGCTTTGCTATCAAATCCAAAAAAGTACTTTTTATTCATTCTTATTTTTTTATCTTTTCTTTTAAAATTATTTTAAATAAAATTATAAAACTAAAAACTAATTAATTTTAAAAAATAAATAATAATTTTCACTAAAATTTAAAACAAATTTAACATTTAACCTTAACTACCCATGTGAATTTTATTATTACTTTTAAAAATTAGTTGAAATGTTAAATTTTAAAAACGTCAAAAACTAACCGCGTCTAGGCATCATGTCCTTAGTTGGTCCGTAAGCTTTTTGGTGTTCGAAGTTCGGCATGTTTTGACTTGATATAGATTTAACACTTTAAACTCATTTTGAAAAATTAATAATGATTTTCACTAAAAATTTAAACAAATTTAACACTTAAACTTTAAACAAAATAATATTTTTATTCAAAACAATGTAAATTATTTAGAAAAATTTAAAAACCATGTAAATCACTTTAAAAAAATTATTTAAGTGTGAAATTTTAAAACCGTCGAAAACTAACCGCGTCAACGCATGTTTGACATGATATATAGGTTTAACACTTAAACTCATCTTGAAAAATTAATAATGATTTTCACTAAAAATTTAAACAAATTTAACACTTAAACTCATCTTGAAAAATTAATAATGATTTTCACTAAAAATTTAAACAAATTTAACACTTAAACAATGTAAATATTATTTAGCCAAAATAATATTTTTAACTAAAACAATGTAAATTATTTAGAAAAATTTAAAAACCATGTAAAAATTTTTAAACGGTCGAAAACTCACTGCGTCTAGGGCATGTTTTGACATTATATAGATTTAATACTTTAACTCATTTTGAAAAATTAATAATGACTTTCAGTAAAAATTTAAGCAAATTTAACACTTGAACTTTATAACCAAAACAATGTAAATTATTTTAAAAAAATTTAAAACCATGTAAATCATTTAAATTTTTTATTTAAGTGTTAAATTTTAAACCATCGAAAAATAACCGCGTCTAGGCATGTTTTGACGTGATATAGATTTAACACTTAAACTCATTTTGAAAAATTAATAATGATTTTCACTAAAAATTTAAAGAAATTTAACACTTAAACTTTAGGGAGACTCACAAAAATGCCCCTTTTTGAATATCCCTTTTCAAAAATACCCCCTTTGGCTGTCCATTTTTAAAAATAAATACCCATTTTTATGTATAAAATGACTAAATTACCCTTCTTTTAATAAAAGATATCAAAAATATATAAAGAAATATAACAAAATTAGGTCCACAAAATACAAAATATTTTTTGGCGGGAAAAGTGATCTCGTAATTTTTTCCGCCAAAACACTTGTAAAAACTTGTAAAACCTTTAAAATACTTTGTAAAATTTTCCCGTAAAATTTTTACCGTAAGGATCATTAACACTTAAACTTTTTACCAAAATAATATTTTTAACCAAAACCATGTAAATTATTAAAAAATTTTAAAAACTATGTAAATCACTTAAAAAAATTATTTAAGTGTTAAATTTTAAAAACGTCGAAAACTAACCGAGACTCACAAAAATGCCCCTTTTCAATACCCCTTTTCAAAAATACCCCCTTTGGCTGTCCATTTTTAAATATAAATACCCATTTTTATGTATAAAATGACTAAATTACCCTTCTTTTAATAAAAGATATCACAAATATATAAGGAAATATAACAAAATTAGGTCCACAAAATACAAAATATTTTTTGGCGGGAAAAGTGATCTCGTAATTTTTTCCGCCAAAACACTTGTAAAAACTTGTAAAACCTTTAAAATACCTTGTAAAATTTTCCCGTAAAATTTTTACCGTAAGGATCATTAACACTTAAACTTTTTACCAAAATAATATTTTTAACCAAAACCATGTAAATTATTAAAAAATTTTAAAAACTATGTAAATCACTTAAAAAAATTATTTAAGTGTTAAATTTTAAAAACGTCGAAAACTAACCGCGTCTAAGCATGTTTTGACGTGATATAGATTTAACACTTAAACTCATTTTGAAAAATTAATAATTTTACTAAAAATTTAAACAAAATAATATTTTTAACCAAAACCATGTAAATTATTTAAAAAAATTTTAAAACCATGTAAATCACTTAAAAAATTATTTTAAGTGTTAAATTTTAAAAACGTCGAAAACTAACCGCGTCTAAGCATGTTTTGACGTGAAATAGATTTAACACTTAAACTCATTTTGAAAAATTAATAATAAATTTTACTAAAAATTTAAACAAAATAATATTTTTAACCAAAACCATGTAAATTATTTAAAAAATTTTTAAAACCATGTAAATCACTTAAAAATTTTATTTAAGTGTTAAATTTTAAAAACGTCAAAAAATAACCGCGCCTAGGCATCATGTTCTTAGTTCGTCCGTAAGTTTTGGTGTTCGAAGTTCGGAATGTTTTGATGTGATATAGATTTAACACTTAAATTTTTAAAAATTATTAATGATTTTCGCTAATTTAACACTTAAACTTTAACCAAAATAATGTTTTTAAACAAAACTATGTGAATTTCACTATTACTTTTAAAAATTAGTTTAAGTATAAAATTTTTAAAACGTCGAAAACTAACCACGTCCAGACATCCTGTCTTTAGTTGGTTCGTAAGCTTTGGTGTTCAAAGTTCGGCATTTTTCACGCGATATAGATTTAACACTTAAACTAATTTTTAAAAATTAATAATGATTTTCACTAAAATTTAAAACAAATTTATCACTTAAACTTTAACCAAAATAATGTCTTTAACCAAAAAGTCCAAAACCATCTGAATTTTAGGTGTCAAAAACTAAAACTATTACTTTTAAACTTTTACTTTTAAAGATTAGTTTAGGTGTCAAATTTTAAAAACTAACCGCGCCTAGGCATTCTCTCCTTAGTTGGTACGTAAGCGTTCGAACTTCGGCATGTTTTCACGTATATAGATTTAACACTGAAACTCATTTTAAAAAATTTATGATGATTTAACTAAAATTTAACACTTAAACAATAGAAAAATTGTGTTTTTAACCAAAACCATGTGAATTTCATTATTACTTTTAAAAATTAGTTTAAGTGTTAAATTTTAAAAACGTCGAAAACTAACCGCGCCTACATGTTTTCACGTAATACAGTTTTAACACTTAAATCAATTTTTAAAGGATTTTTTAAACAATAATTATTTTTACTAAAATTCTTCTAGTTTCACTAAATTTTAAAATAAACCACGTAAAAGAAATTTAACAAATAAACTAATTTTTTAGAAAATTACTTTTTATAACTAAAACGAATTAACAATAATGTTAATTTCATTGAAAATTTTAAATAAATAAAATGTTTTAGATTTTCAAATTAGTTTAAGTCTTAGATTTTAAACACATTGAAAACTACCCGAACTTAGGCATCCTGTCTTTTTTTTGATCCGTAAGATGTTATAAGTTTCACATGTTTTCACATAATATATATATATTTAACATTTAAACTAAATTTTAAAGGTTTTTAACCAATTTCACTAAAAATTTTAAATCAATACAATGTTTTACTTTTTCAAATTAAAGTAGTATAAGTGTTAGATTTTAACCACGTTGAAAAATACCCGAACTTAGGCATCCTGTCCTCCACACTTTCTTACAGATTTGTTAAGTTCCTTGTTAAGCTCCCACATTCACTACCTTGATTAGAACTTAGAAAAAGCTCTGTGCAGTTCTTGCTAAATCAGATCGGAAGCTTGGAGAAGGAAAGAGACCATTCAAGGTATAAGAATGGGTACACTTTGTAGTATTATGGTCTAAAACACTTCTTTTTTTTTGTCAAATTATTAAAAGAATAATACATACACCTAATTTCTCCAAAAAAAAAAAAAAACACAGAAAGAGATGAGATTGTTTGAAGCATAAAAACAGGTATTTGGCATCCAACCACGAACATAAAATTAAAAAGAGTTCGCCGAGGGCTTCTCATTATGTGGATACGAAAGGCTTCTTCATAGGAATTTCACTCCTACGTGATATTGATATTCACTAGCAATGAAAGATAGCGGCAGACTGCCTTTCTCTTCTATTCTATGGAACATGTACAGACTGACTGAGATATGCTCTTGTTAGTGCACATACGTTATACCAGACACATATATAACATGACCAAATCCAATTCATTTAATCCGTAAAAGGATGTGAACAACACATATTTATTCAAAGAAGTTGTACATTTAAGCATTTCAATATGTTATTTTATTTTTTTGAAGGTATGGGAACTGAGTATTACTCATTGCTTACAACATTTATGGATCCATCACAAACGCAGCTCCAACTCTATCACGCGGGATCAGTCTGAGTTCAGATCCGTGCTTCAGAAAAACGTTTCCTGGCATCATTCATAACACCACATACATTAACATTCGAGAAAATAGATGGGAAAAAAAAAACATATTGAGCATGATTTATACATAGTTGAGATTTAAGTTCTTTTGAAATGTGAACAGCTGAAATATTACAGCGAAACCGGACTATGTATAAATAGTCTAAAGGATGTTATCCATCCGGCTTTCCTATGGACACTGAAGTCACTTAGAGACTAAGATTAATTTAGCTTACAAGTTAATGGAGATGAGTTAAACAAATAGAAAAAACCACACGACTTTAAGGACAACACAAGTGATCATCTAAGATTATAAAGACATTGATATCAAACCATGCAAAAGAGAAATAAAAGATAGAATTGAGTAAAAGCAATAAACCAAGTCAAATGTTTAGCATTACGAAAGTTACCTGCACTCTGTTGAGGATTGATCCCAATCCCATCTGCACACATGAATACAGATGCATCACATCAGAACTCTTGAGAATTGATGTAGATGGATTAAATCATCCGAAACTACTCAATATATGAGCACTAAAGTCTATTCAAAACAAATCCCTTCTAGGATCTTCCAGCACTAGAAAAGCTTAAAACTTTTAAACTTTGTAGCCACGGAAAATGCCGAGAGAAAAGAGTTACATGCATATATGATTCATGTCTAAAAGAAACACAATTCGAATTCGAAAAACTCAGAATCCCTATAGCAATAATGCTTGATGATGCGATATAAGGCGAAGAAGAATCGATCTCAAAATGAATGTCAACAATGGTTTAATTACCATTAGTGATGATGGCGCTGGTTTGTGGAGGAACCTTGAACTCTTCTGCTGCGAATTTCAGAACCGCCGTGAACGGAGCTCCTTCTGGGACGCTGAAACTGATCGGAGAAAAAAAACAACCAAGAGATCAATCACAGGTGAATCAAACGCGTAAATCGAAAACAAGAAAAGAGTCTGGATTCGCGTACACTTTGAAAGGAAGCTTAGGATCCGAAGTCAGAGTGACTTTGAAGGAGACTTTCCCTCCACCAGTGGCCATTTTTCCCGACGACGGAGGAGATCAGATTAGCACGGCGGAATTGGCGTTTCAATGACGCAGACACCAAGAAAGAGGGTTACGAATCGTGTCTGAAACCAGAGAAAATACCAACATTAAAGTTGTATTTCACTTCAGGCCCATTTTCGGCCCATTTGTAATTTTACGCTTTTTTTAAATAATATTAACCATTTTTCTTAGAATGTAACTTCATATTTCTTTTTACACCCAAATCAACCTTTACATTGACTTTGAAACTAAAATTATTTACACATGAGATATTTTCCTCAAGAGTAAAAGAAAAAAAAACTTGTTTATCTAAAAAAGAGTGACGAAATTAGCTAAACACAACAAGAGACAACATCAACGCAAGCCACAATCTCCCAATCATCTTCTTAAACCCAGCAGAACCATCGCTGCATACTAACTTGTTATCATGGTACGTGCACACCGGCTTCTTCCTATACACATTAAAAAAAAAAAAAAACTTAATTAGTTCTTTAATTTTTCATATGAAATTAAGTGTCCTGACATGTAAATGTCATTTTCACATTTTTTATATAAAAAAATCATGTTCTAGTAGAAACTTGATTATGAATGAAACTTGATTAGAATCATGACATGTAGTTAAAAACGTTAAAAGACAAACCTGGAGGAACAGAAAGAGATGACGTAATCAGAGGCAGTGCAAGTCATAATACTGGTCGGATCATCATAAGCATAACTATAAGCAGTAGGACAAGCTTGCTTGAAGATCTTTGAGTAATAAGTTGGTTGACACACCACTGGATTCCCATAAACTCCTCTGCAACAATACTCATCTCTATCAAACACATCACACGCACTCCTACACGATATCACTTTCCCGTTTGATTTCACGGCGAGCTCCTGTGGACAATGTGGCCTCAAATCAGCTACGCAACCGGCGACGCTGCAGTTTCCTATTCCGTTCATCGGAGTCACCGACATCGGGAGATTGAATCCGTCGACGAGGCTCACGTCGTAGAAATCCAGTTTGGCTAATGTGAATTCAGCTAGTGAAGCTGGTGGTTTTCCGGAGGCTGAACATTTTAGAGTTGACCCGCATGAACCGGTTTCGCAGGTTCCGGTTCCGGTTGAGTCGAATTTGCAACCGGTTCGTCCCCATATTCGGCCTGACCAGCCTACTGGTGCGTTGAATACGATGGATTGGCCCGGTTTTAGCTCGAATCCTCCACCGTTGAAGTTTTCTCCGGGAGTTATCGCCGGCCAGATCTTTTGATCACATGAGTTAATGATCGTGAATACTCGAGCTGATTCTGACCATTTTGTTCCTGTGGAATATAATAAATAATTCACACGAGTTCTAATCGGTATCCAAACCCTAATTAAAAAAATATCTACCCAAATGAGACGTTTAATTACGGTATAATGTTTGAATTATTTACCTGATAACATCGTGAGAAAGAGTAACAAGATCCTTGGTGACAAACCGAAACGAATTGGCATCTTCACTAGAAAAGATTTAAGATCAAGGTAATCTAATTTTCTGGTCTGACTATGGGTCGGTTTACAAAAATTATTGAAGTGAAATTGCCTTTTTTAAGGAAGGAAGAAAGAATAACTTGCGTGGAGAGTCTATAGGTCCAATTATAATAATCGGTTTTAGTATACTGTATGTGTGTTTTCAAATAATAAAGGTTCCTTGTTTTGGAATTTGGGAAAGAGTTAGTGTTATTCCTTTCCTGATGCGTCATGCAAGTATTCTTTGGGATGTTGTTAAGGTAATCAAAGTCCAAATGGTTAGGATATACTTTATATGTTTAGATATTATTTATTTATCTATATATATAGTTAAGTAAATAATAAAAATCTATTTATTTGTATAAGGAATAGGATCTATATGTATGTGACTTTTTATCTGCCTATTTGTTTTCTATTATTGTTTTTGCAAATTTGGATAATCATCTTGATCTTCGATTATTTTAGCCTTCATGTCATCTACGGATATAGTAGGCCTAATTAACGAATCATATAGCCCATTCAGTTCGAACTCAAATGGCTCACTTTTCGGCCCATTATTATATTCTGCTTTTTGACTTTACACCATTAATTTATAGTAAATAGTCATAAATTCAAAAAAAATTAAGAAAATAGCTATGAGCTACAGTACTTAACCTGTTGGATGTCGGAAAGCACGTGTAATTACACACAGATCCTTTATAACATGTTTTTTTCTCGAATTACATATGATAGAATAATATATCTCTTTTTATCATATTATTTTCTGGTTTTACACGTTATTTATAAAGAACACATGATATTTTTTGAAAAAACACTCTATTCAGTTTAATATTTTTCTCTATCATGTTATTTTATAGTAATACACGTTTTTTATTATGATCACATGTAATTTTTTTTTTTTAAAAAATCTTATTTTCAAGTAATTCACGGTTTTTAAAAGATCACATGTTATTTCTTTGAAAAAACACTCTATTCAGTTTAATATCTTTCGCTATCATGTTATTTTGTAGTCATACACGTTTTTTATTATGATCACATGTAATTTCTTTAAAAACGATTCTTATTTTCTAGTAATTCACGGTTTTTATTAAGATCACATGCTATTTATTTATAAAAAGATTATATTCAAGTTTAATTTTTCCGTAACAATGTTTTTTAAAAAAAAACACTACGTGACAATGTTTTTTCTTAAAAATTCACTACGTTTTTTTAAATAGCATGTATTTTAGTTACATATAACATGTGAAATTTAGATCTTACGTGCTATTTTGAAAAATATCACGAAACAATGTCGCCTACTGTAGATCTCAAAACAAACGGATGATGGTTTTGTTATTTCACCTCTTCAGACAATGTGAGTCCATGCTGTTTTCCGACATAATTTTCTCTCTCTGCTAGTTTCTTAATTTATGTGTCAAATTTGGCTAGTTAGTAATATTACCCTTAATAAATTTGTAGTCATGATATTTTTTTTTCGTAAGCAGATTTTCTAACGAAGATAAATTGATGAAATTCAAAACAAAACTTCTCATTCTTTGTCGTTATGGGAATCATTTATATCTACCATCCAGTAGAATCGAATTCCTGATTTCAAGATATCAAATTATTTAACTACAATGACTTGCAATTATTTCCAATATTATTATCAATGACATCTTAATCTCTGCTCTATTTAGGGACGACAATATTTATATCTTTTAGAGATATCTCAATAGCCTATATAAGTAAAGGACATATCACAACAATAAATAAAAAAATAATAATAATTGAATATGCATATTTTAATGCAAATTGGTGATCAGTTTTCTTTCCGCTGCCATCCATTTTGGCCTGGTTAAAAAGCTATAAAGATCTAAAATGATGATACCTTCTCATTAATAATTCGATCCATTGTAAAAGTATGGGGCTAAAAAGGAGAAATTTTAAAAGAAAATATGGGAAATTAGTGAGTTAAATAAAGCTTAGACAGCTAGACACGTGTGGTAGTTATGTTTACCACTAATCCCACCTGATTAGCAATCATTCTTTCCATTGGATCCATCTCCAAACCTCGATTACCTCACAAATCACTATTTCATCCTGTCTTTTAACTAAAATTTTCTACTTCTAAATCGAGCGTCTGGATATTTGTATTGTGTGGTGCCATATGGTAGACAAGGGCATAGATATATGTATTTTCAAGTTCCAATTAACAGCTATCTAATATAATCGGACAAAACATAAAAACTTAGAAATATAATTGATTATTATACATATAGATCGTTTTCATCCTTATCACAAGAACGAAAAAGGACCAATGTGTTTTATTCATTGTTCTAGTTGTTACAATCATCATGATTCAAATAATTGTTAATGATAATAATAGTTTAGCCTTTCTTTAAAAAAAAAAAAAAACATCATTGTTGTCACTTCTATTTTCAAATTTACAATTAGTCTACTCTCACTACTTTAAACTTTAAAAATCTATAATTAGCGAACCCTCCTTTTTCGCATATTATCGGGGTCAATATATAATTAACAATCTCAAACCGGGCCTACCCGTTCGTGTAATGCTACAAAATATGGCCCATAGGCCCAACAATCAAATCAAGCCCATTAAAAAACAACCCACGCTCGCCGAAAACTGTAACACTCACAAGTAGGTGATATAACTCCGGCACAAACCAATCATAAACCAAAATCCACATGACAACTCTTCAGCTGTGACTAAAGACTTCGTCCCCCGACACTCGTTACTCAATAATTGCCCTCAGAGAAAAAGAAAGAAAGAAAAACCCATAAAACAAATAAATAAATGAAAAAGGTCTTCATTAATCTATTTAAAGAGTGGAAGTAAAGAAGCTAAAGAAACTGATCAGAGAAGAAGATAAAAATGGCGGCAGAGAAAATAGAGACAGTGGTCGCAGGGAATTACTTGGAAATGGAGAGAGAAGAAGAAAACATAAGTGGTAACAATAAATCTTCAGCTAAAACAAAACTTTCCAACTTCTTCTGGCATGGAGGTTCTGTCTACGATGCTTGGTTTAGTTGTGCTTCAAATCAGGTACATATATATATACTTCGACATATATAGTCTTATATATATGTATGTAAATGGTCGTCTCTAGCTTATAAATTGTAATAAAAATTGGCAGGTGGCACAAGTTCTGTTGACATTACCGTACTCGTTCTCACAACTTGGGATGGTGTCGGGAATTTTGTTTCAACTCTTTTATGGACTAATGGGAAGTTGGACTGCTTATCTCATTAGTGTTCTTTATGTTGAATATCGAACTCGTAAAGAACGAGAAAAATTCGATTTCCGTAATCACGTTATTCAGGTTTTTATTCCACCTCTAATTCTTGTGACGAGTTATAATTAATGTTTGGTTATGGTATTATTGAATTCTAACTTTTCGTTTTTTTTAAATAAATAAAGTGGTTTGAGGTGTTAGATGGATTGTTGGGGAAACATTGGAGGAACCTTGGATTGATCTTTAACTGCACTTTTCTTCTCTTTGGATCCGTTATTCAGCTCATTGCTTGTGCTAGGTAAATTATTAATTAATGTTCATTTTATTTATTATATGTTTGTTTCTTTCATATATATGGGAAACTTTATTTATATAAAAAATAATTTGCAGCAATATATATTATATTAATGACAAATTGGACAAGAGGACATGGACATACATATTTGGGGCGTGTTGTGCAACAACTGTTTTTATTCCTTCCTTCCACAATTATAGAATTTGGTCATTCCTCGGACTCGCTATGACCACTTACACTTCTTGGTATCTCACCATTGCTTCACTCCTTCATGGCCAGGTCATTTAATTAACAAAAATCTTGTTTGATAAATATAAGATATAGTCCTGGTTATTGTTGTTTAATTTAATTTTCGAATACAAAAAGGCTGAGGATGTGAAACACTCGGGTCCAACCACAATGGTGCTTTACTTCACCGGAGCCACCAACATTCTCTACACATTCGGTGGTCACGCCGTCACAGTGTAAGCTTTTTTTTTTTTCTTTTGGAAAATTAAAATGGCTCAATGTCTTATTACTTATATATTGTATTGAAACAATATAATAGGGAGATAATGCACGCGATGTGGAAACCACCAAAGTTCAAGGCGATATATCTAACTAGCGACCATATATGTACTAACGCTAACGCTACCATCCGCGTCTGCGGTTTATTGGGCGTTTGGCGATCAGCTACTAACTCATTCCAATGCGCTCTCTCTTCTCCCTAAGTCCGGTTTTAGAGATACCGCAGTGATCCTCATGCTCATTCATCAGTTTATAACATTCGGATTCGCATCTACACCGTTATATTTTGTGTGGGAAAAATTGATAGGTGTGCATGAGACGAAGAGCATGTTCAAAAGAGCCATGGCTAGATTACCCGTGGTTGTACCCATATGGTTCTTAGCCATTATCTTCCCCTTTTTCGGACCAATCAATTCCGCCGTCGGATCTCTCTTAGTTAGCTTCACTGTATACATCATCCCCGCATTGGCTCATATGCTTACCTTTGCTCCTGCTCCTTCAAGAGAGGTTGGATTTCTTTCCGTCTTCCAAAATGTCGTTTTAAAATTATTTTTGTTTCATATAAAGCTTAATTATTACAATTTTAGTATAAGTTTACAAAAATAATTGAAAATTGTAGATTAGTTTATAAATACTTATATTAAAATTATTAGATATTTTTATAGATTATGTCAAGAATGTTAGAATAATATTTTGGTATATCTTATTGTTAATGTGAACAGAACGCGGTGGAGAGACCACCGCGAGTGGTGGGAGGATGGATGGGGACTTATTGCATAAACATATTTGTGGTGGTTTGGGTATTCGTAGTTGGGTTCGGGTTCGGAGGATGGGCAAGTATGGTCAACTTTGTTCGCCAGATCGACACTTTTGGTCTCTTTACTAAATGCTACCAATGCCCTCCTCACAAGCCATGATATACAAATTCGCCATTCAAGACCTTCTAGAAAGAGAGTTTCATCTGAGTGGGTTTTGTTTTCGAAATCTAATACATATAAGTTATTATATCCATTTTTTAGTATTTATTAAAAATCACATCTCTTTGTAATTGTTTGACGACAATAATCTTGTACTTCGTTTTTTTTTTTTTTAATTTGTTATGTTGAGTTGTTTTTGGTAAATTGGGTTTTTTTTTTTGTTCCTTAGTTAAGGTGTGATGGCTATCTTAGGCCAACCCTATTATTAATCTATAGCTCATGTAATTTTCATGTGTGTGTTGTGTGTAATGATCTCGTTATTTTCTTTATACTGAGATTAATTTCATCGTCTTTTGATGAGCACTGAGTTGTTGATGAAAATTGACTAGAAATTCTGCGATCAATCCAATGAAATGATGATATATGGAAATGCATGATTTAAAACCATAAAACCTCGTGATCTATACTCTGTAGTAAAAGACATTAATGTGGGTAATTTGAGAGTTTTATTTAAAATACATTGGCTTATCTTTGAAGCAATCAAGTATAGATCTAAACTTTTTTTTTTTTTTTCTGAACGTGAGTGATCACGATCTGAATCCATCATGGGCAAATTAGCATCACATCACAAAGGAAAGGCGTATCTTTTAAAAAACAGAAAGATAAAAAAGAGGCAAAAGGCAATGTGGCAGGCTCTGTGTCAGTGTTGTTAGTACGTACTTAGGCAGACTTTTTACACCAATTGATTCAATGGTTGGTGCTTGGTAAAGTCAAATAACTGATCAATCGCATATGATTATTCGTCTAGTTTGATAATTTTAAAATAAAACCAAAACTTCTTACAAATTTTGATAGATATATCAAAAACAAAACAAAGTAAAGATGAAATAGTACTTCATCGATATCAACATTGAACAAAAAGTATAAAACCATAACTTAAGTAAACATTTATTAGAAAAAGCTTTAAAATGCAAAAGTCATAGAAAACTCTAAAAGATCATTTAAGTGAAACTAGAATAAGTTGATAATTAAAATATAACTGATGAACAATTATCCGAAATCTAAGATGCATCACTAATTAATACACTGCTAGCTCTTGTTAGGGTTCATGATTTGAACTAGTTTTTCATATGACGTAATTAAGGAATAAGTTACACAACAACAACAAAAGCGATATATAGATATATCTCTTTAGCTCGCAATAATTAAGTTGGAACAAACAAACTTACTATCATCGTTACCAGAAAACTGACATTTGGGTTGATTTTGCTAGATGGTTACTTTTGACTAACAACTTCATATTATTAGGTACTATCGGAGAAAAGAAACCTTTTTTGGGGTCAAAATCCAAAAAAATTGAAAATCAGTACTCATACAAACATTTCATTTATTGCCGGAACAACTAGACTTATTACCAAAAAATTGATTCGGACGGGACACTAAATAATTCAATATACATAAGTTGTGATAGATATATAAATAGAAATTCAGGAATCTGATTGTCAAAAGTTAATATTCTAACAAACATTTTAAGCGCTTTTATGGATTTGCCAATCTAATAAACTGCTTTTTGACTAGCTTTATAACTTCCATGCTCCAATCAGTCTCATGGGAAGTTGGGTCATCACTATTCTGCAATTTTCTTTACCTGCTAAAGATATAGACAAAATAATACAAAAACAATATGGCCAAAATGAAATAATACAAAAACGTTATCATTATCTATCCTTGAATATAAATATAACCTAATTTTTTGTGTGTTGCGGTGAGATATTCCAAAAGAAGAAGTTAAGTAGGAAAATGACGAATTTAAGGATAATTTGGGAAAAAATAATTAAAAATGTGGTCTAATATTCCTTTGATTAAAAGCGTTATGAAAAATAAAGATGTAAATACTATTCACTTTAGATTATCAATATTATAAAAAACAAATACGTGAACACTGTTTTATTGGCGGATACTGTATATCCTACATATATATACACATATATATATAAGGTCCTGTTGAAATTTTTGCTTGTGAATTGCTATCGACATATATAGCTAATACGTAGTTGTTAACAAAAAAAAAAAAACACTAAGCACGTATTACGTATAGTTTAAGAATTCCAAATCAAGATTGGGATACAATTAAATAAAAATCCAAACGTGTTAAGATTTAAGAGTTGTATACTAAGCAAGAAAATGTATTATTTATTCAAATGATATTAAAAATCCGACAAGATCAAACTTTAAATCATCAATAGACAACTAAAATAGATTTTACAATAAAATCAAAAAAAAGAAAAGAAAAAAACGAGTCTTCGATCAATATCTAGAAAAGTTGCGAGAAAACGACAAGACACAAAAAATCAAGATGAACACGTTCTCACGTTGTGCTCAGCCTTAGTGTTCGATTACGAAAGAGAGAATGAAAATCTTTTAGTGAAGTGAATTTTCTGCAAGTAAGCAAAGAAAGTGAGAAAGAGAATGACAAAAAAGCGTGTGGATAAGACTCACACGTGCGTGGGGTCTTGGTGAAAAAAAAGAAAGAAAAATCATCTTCGATATCTTCACCTTTTTAATCTTCCATCTCCTTAATTTCAGAGAAAAAGGCTAAATTTCACATGGCAAGTATCAGACGGCTCTGATTTGTTGTTGTTGTTGATTATTCATATGTTTCAACAATAATTATTCGTAAAAAGCCAAAAAAAAAAAAAAAAAATCTGTAAATTTACCGCGAGTCCTGTTTTGGAGTAATGAACATTTGAGTTGTTCGAACCAGAACACTAGCTAGAAATTTATTTTAAAAAACATAAAAATAACAAATGATGGGTACATGCATGACAGGTTTGTAATTTTATGCGTTGGAGGGTTTCTCATGAATGTGCATGAAGATTTGTAAGCTTATGCTTGAATATATGTATACAAAAATATATGTCCCTTGTCCATTGTAAGTCTTGTTCGATACACATTTGTCTCGAAATGACATTATGATGTCGATGTTCATCAACCACACATGCTGCGTCTGCTTGTAGTTGCCAATCTCTATCCTGACCTAATGTCGTTCACATTATTATTATCAATTCATAAATTTCTAGTATATAAAAAGTCTTCCAATGAAATTATTAGTATAATTGTGAATAAATTTACCAATTTATACAAACAAAAGAAAGTATTAGTATAATTATTTTGACTACTTAGCTCGTAAAATTATTTTAACAAAATTAAAGATATGTAAGTGTTCAGTTATTGGTGTAATTTAACATGTTATAAAAAATTATGGCATATGTAGAAATTTCAAATATTGTTAGTGGGCCTATTTTGGCCTATGACAATAGTTTGGGTCCATTTCAATACCAAATTCTAAATTTCCTTTCGTTAATGGCCTAGTTTCAGACTTTCAGCCTATCAAGTAAATAGGTCTTCCCAAACACGTCAACCCATGCTACAAAATATAGATCTAAAAGAAGATATTGATGTCAAAAAATGTCAAGAGAGGCCTAATTAAGCCTTCTACATGCATGTGCTTTTTTAAGGTCCATTCTGATTAGTAGTTTTTTTGAATCAACTCTATTTCAGTTTTGTGGTGGTTTGGATCCTGGTTAAAATATAAATTGGATGTTCTACGTGGTTTTGTAAGTGCAATGGGCTTGTAGTAACAACTAACAACCCAAATCCTAAAAACATAATACAACATTCCATTGCATCCTTTGGTCATCTTCTCGTTATTCGACAATCCATAGCTCTTTGACGTTAACAAAAGAGGAAACGGAACATCCGAATATATTGCAACGTTATCGATGACGGGACAATCCGATTCAAGACAAACTCAAACTTCGTAAAGAACATGCATAGCTTAATTTAGGAACTTAATTATAACAACACATTAAAAAAATACTAAATAAAACCATTACAAATTTAATTAAGGCAAAACAGCAAACTATTTATGTTTACAAATCACAACTATAAGTTATTGACAGTTGAATAAAACAGAACTTAGTGACAATTTTATCCTGGAATGATAAAACAAAAAAGAGAGTTGTACTCGTTATTTGTCACACAAAAATATACATTTCACAACAAAGTAGTTAAAACAAAAACTTAAAAATAGATACCACAACTGTACATATATCTCTCGAAATTTTTACCAATTACGAATTACAAGAATCGAACACAAATTTTGGTGGAATATTTTAAACACGAAAATGGCAGCAAATGGAAGAGTGATCATAATAGCACTGCTAATGGTGGCTATGGTAATGAACATGACATGGTGCGTCAACAGCAAAGGCTTTGTAAATTTAGGAATTAGTCCTGAAGAACTACAGAGTTGCATCAAGGCTTGTATTCCAGAACAATGCATGCCCGAGGCTAATAATCTAACCGTGTGTGAGAAAGCATGTCACAAATATTGCAACCGACCTGCTTTCAAGTCTTACTATGTCGTTCCTCGAGATCGAAATGGTGGTGGGTTTATCAGATCTGCTTTTTGCAAGCTATGGTGTTAAAATTAATTATTAATGAGCTCAACATCTATTATTTTAACTTTAATTGGATTTGGTGAGTTTTAATATGTGACACAAACACAATACTGACTTGTCTCCTAATGTTGAGTGTGTTTTGTTATGAACGTATAATTAATGATTTTGTTTTTTTGGTTGATGGCACTGAGAAGGGGTGAAAAAGTAATTTAGAGATAGTTGTGGTAAATATGCTAATACTAAAAACATAAAGGGGGTGAATGCAAATAAACTCTTAGAAAAGAAAGCGTAGCTCAATGGCCGTCCGATGAAGTTTTAAGTTACACGTGTAATACGATGAACCAACCGACTCAAGCTAGTATATGAAAAAGGAAATTAGAGAGAAAGAAAAAAAAGAAAAAAAGAAAATAGTAATAAAAATGGAAAAGGCAAACACATCAGTCGGCGGATTGCGCCGACCAATCATCATCACATCGTTTTCTTTCTTCGCCACCCAATTAATTAATTAGTATATCTTTTAATTACAATTTTTCCATCTTCTTCTTCTTCCTCTGATCAAATAAGATCCAAGATCTTGTTTTTTCCTTCGTATCGTCGCGAAACTCGCGATTTCTTTTTTGTTTTTCTTCTTCGATTAGACTATCAATTGTGTTTCATCCGTTTCTGTTTTTTGTATCTGATCGGAAGATTCTAGCTTTTTTTTCTTTTTTCTTCTAGAGATAGTTTTACTCAGAAGAGCTCGTTAAGAGTTTATAGTGTTAAGCGATGAAGAGTGCGTCGTCGGTGGAACAATCAGTTGAAAGAATCGAAAACGGTCACAAGAAGAAGAGGAACAGGCCTCAGAAACATATTCGTCGATCTAAACACAGCTCAGGTTCATAAATCTTTTCTTTTGTTTTTTATGTATTATTGTCGCCGGTAACTTTGAAGTTGATATTTAGGGTTTACAATATCAGTTTTTTTCCAGTATCTTAAACTGATTAGGTTCTTGGATTTGCTAGGTTATTGGTTTTTGTTTTTTTCCAGTTTTTAGTTGTCTTTTAGTAGCATCACAATTGTAACTTGAGAATTAAGAATGTTTGTTACCTTTACCTTACAAGTTTACAACTTTAATGTCTTCGAACAGTACCGATAGAAGATACACATGTGGAGGAGTCGTCAGATGGTAGAACTAGTACTAGGAGTAAAGCTAAAGATTCTACTTCTTCATCGAAGCAGCAGAGATCGGACAATTCTAATGAACTTGAAGCTATGAGAGCGTCTAATGTTGCTTTCAATTCTATGCCGCCTATGCGTTTTGAGGGGCGAGCTGAAACTGGTTATCCAGGGAGGTCTGCAAGTCCGTTGCTTTCTTCTCCTCAAGTTAGTAAGCAATTGTTATCCAAGTCGTGCCCTGATCCTAGGGCTTGTGAGCACTCTCCTAGGATGGATGGTGACTTGTTCCAGCAAATTGAAGGTTCCTCTCAGCGAAAGATTTTCTCTTCACACTGGTCTCTTGATGCTGTGAGCCAAGCTTTAGAGGTTTGTTTGAGATGTTCTCTTTATCTTTTTCTTCTTCTTCCATTTAAGTTATATCTTTTGGACCTCATACCTGTCTTTACTTTTATGCATTGTATCAGAAAGGTGAAGCTTTTAAAGCGCTATTTCGGGTGAATGCTCATAATCGCAATGAGGTTAGTGGCAACATCTGATTTTCCAAGAGATTTATGTTTCTTAACCGTTGGTTTCTTCTGTTCACTTTTAATCCCTTTTTTTTTTCCCTTTTGAAGGCTTATTGTAAGATCGATGGAGTCCCTACAGATATTCTAATCAATGGAAATGTTGGCCAAAATAGAGCAGTAAGTTTGGTTTATTTTTTGTATATTAAGGAGCTTCCTGACTTATTTTTTTTCCTGCAATCCATCTACTATCTTTTTTCCTTTTGGCCCATGTTGGAGAGGTTTTATTTTAGTTCATTGGTTGGTTTTTTAAGTTCAGACTTGTGTTTCTTTATGTAGGTGGAAGGTGATATTGTTGTTATTAAATTGGATCCGCTCTCACTGTGGCCCAAGATGAAAGGATTTGTTACTGAAAGTGTTGCTAAGCTTGAAGGAACGAACAGTCCCCCAGAGAAAGATGACAAAAATGCTCGACAAAAGAATGCTATTGATGTGGTGGAAGGTTTTGAAGATGGGTTCTTGGCAAACAACTCTTCAGTTATAGGACAAGGAGCTAAGAACGGTGTTACTCGCAGTTCTTCACCATTACTGGATTCATGTTTGGGTTCTTTTTGTGAGCAGAAAGGAAATTGCAGTGTGGTTGAAAAGCTATGCGGCATCCTTAGTTCCTTCCCCCACAAACGACCAACTGGACAAGTAGTTGCTGTTGTTGAAAAATCACTTGTAAGGGATTCTATCGTTGGCTTGCTTGATGTCAAGGGATGGATTCATTACAAGGAAAGTGATGCAAAAAGGTGCAAGTCTCCTATGTCTCTTTCTGATGATGAATATGTCCAACTGATGCCTGCAGACCCTAGGTTTCCTAAATTGATTGTTCCCTTCCATGTCTTACCTGGAAGCATTAGAGCAAGACTTGAGAATTTGGATCCGACTCTCGAGGCAGAGCTGGTAGCTGCCCAAATTGTAGACTGGGGCGAAGGGAGTCCATTTCCCGTAGCCCAAATTACACATCTATTTGGCCGAGGCAGTGAATTGGAGCCTCAGATCAATGCGATATTATACCAAAACTCGGTTTGCGAGTCTGACTTTTCTCCTGGCTCGCTTACTAGTCTTCCACGTGTGCCTTGGGAAGTACCAGAAGAAGAGGTTCAACGTAGAAAAGATCTGAGAGACCAGTGTGTATTAACTATCGACCCCTCAACGGCTACAGATCTTGATGATGCTCTATCAGTGCAAAGTTTACCCGGCGGTTTTTTTAGAGTCGGTGTTCACATTGCTGATGTTTCCTACTTTGTTTTACCAGAGACTGCTCTTGACACAGAAGCTCAGTTTAGGTCGACAAGTGTTTACTTGCGCCAGAGAAAAGTATCAATGTTGCCTCCATTACTATCAGAGAACATAGGTTCACTTACTCCAGGAGCTGATAGACTTACTTTTTCTATCTTCTGGGATTTAAACAGAGAAGGGGATGTGATAGATCGCTGGATTGGTCGTACTGTTATACGGTCGTGCTGCAAGCTTTCATATGACCATGCTCAAGACATTATAGATGGGAAAAGTGATGGTGCAGAAAATGGCTGGCCTGCGTTGCATGGATCTTTCGAGTGGAGTGATGTAATTCGATCTGTCGAACAGCTTAGTGAGATTTCTTCCACTTTAAGGCAAAAAAGATTAAGAAATGGGGCTTTGCAGCTGGAGAATTCGAAGCCTGTTTTTCTGTTTGATGAACATGGAGTTCCATATGATTTTGTGATGTGTTCTAGAAAGGGTTCAAATTTTCTTGTTGAGGAGTTTATGCTCTTAGCAAATATGACAGCGGCTGAGGTTATTTCTCAAGCTTACCCTGCTAGCGCATTGCTCCGGAGGCATCCAGAACCAAATACGCGCAAGCTCAAAGAATTTGAAGGCTTTTGTTCAAAGCATGGTATGGATTTGGACATTTCTTCTTCTGGCCAACTCCAGGAGTCATTGGAGAAAATCACTGGAAACCTACAGGATGACTCAGTTTTTGTAGATATTCTGAACAATTATGCTATAAAGCCTATGCAGTTAGCATCTTACTTCTGCACTGGGAATTTGAAGGACAGTGTTGCTGAGTGGGGACACTATGCACTAGCTGTTCCTCTTTATACTCACTTCACATCTCCTCTTCGACGGTACCCAGACATAGTTGTTCATCGTGCGATAGCTGCTGCTCTTGAGGCTGAGGAGTTGTACTCAAAGCTGAAGCAAACATCAATTGATGAAGTGGGAAGCTGTTTCACCGGCATTCATTTCAATAAAGATGCTGCTGAATCTATGGAGGGCAAGGAAGCATTATCAGTCGCTGCTTTGAAACATGGTGTTCCCTCCACTGAAATACTTTCTGATGTCGCTGCTTACTGCAATGAGAGGAAGCTGGCTGCTCGAAAAGTCAGAGATGCATGTGATAAGCTCTACACTTGGTTTGTGCTGAAGAAAAAAGAGGCAAGTATATTGGTATCTTGCATTTATTTCTCATTTTAAGAAATCTCATTTATTTCTCTATCTGCAGGTTTTTCCATGTGAAGCCAGAGTAATGAACTTGGGATCAAGATTTATGACTGTTTACATTAGCAAGCTTGGCGTAAGTCTCTACTGATTCATTTACCATCTATTAAATTATCTAAATCCCTATTTACAATCTGCTCAACCCTTGTTATTGATGCTGTCACAGATTGAACGTAGAATATACTACGACCAAATCGAAGGCTTGTGTGCAGACTGGTTAGATGCAACATCAACGTTAATCCTCGATAAACTATATTCCAAGAGAGGTGGAAGAGGCTATTTCAAGCCCTTGAAGGAAGCAGTCTATTTGGTGAGTCCTTGTGATCAATGTGTTGCAAAATGCAGTGCATTGTCCGTCCATGACACCGAGTCATCAGAAGCTGTGTCAAAAGACGAGGTTGCCCCCGCGGTTTTCCCTTTGACCATCCAACTTTTCTCGACCATTCCTGTGGTTCTTCACGCTGTTGGTGGAGATGATGGTCCGCTCGATATAGGAGCGAGACTCTACATGAGTTCATACTATTATTAGAGGATTGGAGCAAAAGAAAGATCTCTGAAGAGGTAGATTATAGCAACTGTTGTATATTTTTCAGATTACAGTTGCTAAAAAAGAAAATCATGTCGGATTAGAACAGCTCCGTAGTTGGGATGATATAGATACATAGAGACCAATGTGGGGACTTGCCGTTGTTTTTTGGTTCGGTCTGGAATCCCCATTGGTTTGATTCGAAGTTGTGTTAAATGTGTTTCTTTTTTTTTTTTTTTTTGGGCAAAATGTTAAATGTGTTTCTATTTCCTTTGTTTTCATGATTATCGCTCTCCCAATATGTTTTAGTTTTGGGTTGGCCAAAATCATCAAAAGCTTTCACTTGTAATTGTTTCCAGTGCGAAAACAAGCCTCTGCTAATGACAACATTACAACATAATATCATTGATTGCAATGGTTCCATGTTAAAAAGTGCTTCAGGATCAAAAGATATATGGGCACAAGGTTTGAGGTCAGAGAGATCATGACGGGGGACCTTCAGTCTCTGGTTCTGATTTGGCGGCTGTAATCTGAGCTTCGTCGTCTAATTTCATTTGATGTTCTGCGTGCTCTCTTTCGCACTGACTAACTCCAATTATGATGTCAAGCATAGTGCCTGTTGTGCCAAAAAAGACGAGTGCACTGCAAAGAAGAAAACTTAAGAGTTCACTTTGAAGAAAGACACGCTTGGAGGTGTTTACCAAATATCTTCGGAGTCATGAAGATTTGGTACTACACATCTAAGACTAAGCATGCAGCTATAAAACTCTTCTAAGACTGATTTCAATGAAGATATGCTGGATAATCGGGTACTTATCCTTCAGATGGATCATGATATATGCATATGAAACAGTGGACGCTAGGGATTGGTTTTGTGTTTCCTAGACTAATTCATATATATTAGTAGTCAACAAAGAATGGTGGATGTGGATGCCCCAAGATTCTTCTTTTGCAATTGAAAGAAGAGCTATCTTATTAAGTGTGGTGGTTTGAGCATAATTCACTTCAAGAATGAATAGTGACCAGAAATGGATACAAAACTAATGAGGTCCATGATAAAGAAACGATTCAAGATGTCACAAATACTAAAAAGACAAGAAGTCAGATAAAGAAAGCAACTTACTTGGAAACAGAACAAGTGTTTCACATTTTCCTGACTTGCCATTTTTTCTCTGTTACTAAAACGTACAACAGATTTATACAAGTCAGGTAGGAGGAATTGAAATCAATGCGAGCATGAAAGCGGTAAGACTTAAAAATAAATGTTAAAGAAGGGAGCTCTCTCTCTTGCACAATGGTAACAAACTTAGAATATTAGAAAAAAGATAAAAGATTTGTAATACCAAAGCTGTGTTGAACCAAAGCTTAACATAAAAATCGACATCACACTAAGGAGAACAAAAGCTGTAAAAGTTTGCCTTTGATCTCACGAAAAAAGAGAGAGCGGGAATTCAAATTATAAAGTGAAGATCATCAAATGAGAGCGAATTACCTTTCTCGAATCCCCTCACTGAGCAACTGGAGCTTGAAGAAAATGGTCGAATCGATGAAGTCGGGTCAAAAATCTATAATCCGGAAACTGATCCAACCCGAGAATTTGAACCGATCATTGGGCCTGATAGGCTATTACTATATAGCATAACCAACTATATAAAATGTCCGATCTCATCTATATCATTTACAAATTTGGCTATAAAATACATAAGCTCAACTTTAACATGTACAAGTACTTCTTACCAAAAAAAAAAAAAAAACATGTACAAGTACTGTAGTACATAATTATATAATTCATCGACATTTCAAACACTTGTTATCAATTTCACGAGCTGGTCATCTTTAAAGCTATGTACTTTTCGATGATTAGAAAAAAAAAGCTATACTTTTCAAACTTGGCCACTCAAAAGGCTTACATTAACCCACCAAGAGTAAGTGGAGTCCGAAGCCAGCTTTGGTGGGCTTTGCCACTAGCCTATACACTCTTGGAAGACATACATATCTTTATTCTTTACTAATTAACATTTTAGAAAGATAAATAAATCCACAAATTTATCCTTGTTTTATTAAACAAATAAATCTCCAACATTACATTTAGATGCTTGAATTATGTTTAACGCTAATCAAATGTAACATTCTCTCAGATTTCTTTTTTTTTTTTGGCACCATTCTATCACAAAATTTTAAATTTAACGTTAGGTGTAAATTCGACTAATCAATACAAAATTGAGTTTTTTGGCTGATAAATAAGAAAAAATATTCAAACAATTGTTTCACCAAAACAACAGATAAATTGGTACTACATTTTGCCGTCTTTTTTGTTATATTATTAGAAAATTGATAAAGAAAAAGGTGTTAAAACAAGAACAAAACTAAAACTTGGCATCGTCATCTACTCATCTTGAAGGCGGCATGGCCCATGAAGCATCATGATTCATGAGTCGTGTTGTAATTTGTAAAAGCCCACTTGACATCAAAAATTGTCAAAAGTTGCAACTTGTCGAAAATTCCTAAATTTCGAGCGAATCAAAAACCCTAAAAAGCTTACCGAATTTTTCTTGTGGTGATGCAGAGTCAATGTACCTGGACATAAATAGTAGTGTGATGCTCAAACAATTTAGCCTCAAATCCTCTCTTCTCCCATTTTCGTCTCATTCCCGACGAAGCTCCTCCAAACTCCATCGTCCTATCGGAGCCACCATGACCACATTTTCGACTCAGAACGAGTCAACTCAGAAACCCGTCCAGGTAATCTTCCATTCTCTTCTACTTGATGGGTAAATAATCAAAAAGGCATTGCTTCGATTCTCGTGTTTGTGTTCTTGAAAGATCTAATTTTCAAGGGTCCTCCTATTTGTTTGGGCACTGCTTTTGTAACATTGGAAGCTGCTGTTCTGTCAATTTGATGTTTTGTTTTTTTCCCTCTGTTCGTAATGATTTCAAACTTTGTCCGATTTGGATTCCACTTAAGTTCATGCAGTTCGGTCCCACTGTACCCTTTAACAGTTTACACTATCGATGATCAATCCCAGTTTCATCTGTTAGCTTGGTGACTCAAAATGGGCTTTGCTTAATTGCCAGTTTCTCTTTAGACTTCACATTACCGTCGCAGAGTTTAAACCATAGGACTGGTTCTTCTAAACATTGTGTATTAAGTAACTCAATTTTGCACTTTTGGCTCTAGTATTGAGATGTTAGTAACAGTCAGAACCTCAAATTTTACTCATCTCCAAATTAGACTTCTCTTTGGTATACTAATCATTTTCGGACTATTCTTTAGGTGGCGAAACGATTAGAGAAGTTCAAGACTACGATTTTCACTCAAATGAGCATATTGGCTGTTAAACACGGAGCGATCAATTTAGGCCAAGGCTTTCCCAATTTCGACGGTCCTGATTTTGTTAAAGAAGCTGCGATCCAAGCTATTAAAGATGGTAAAAACCAGTATGCTCGTGGATACGGCATTCCTCAGCTCAATTCTGCTATAGCTGCGCGGTTCCGTGAAGATACGGGTCTTGTTGTTGATCCGGAGAAAGAAGTTACTGTTACATCTGGTTGTACAGAAGCCATAGCTGCAGCTATGTTGGGTTTAATAAACCCTGGTGATGAAGTCATTCTCTTTGCACCATTCTACGATTCCTATGAAGCGACGCTCTCTATGGCTGGTGCTAAAATAAAAGGAATCACTTTACGTCCACCGGACTTCTCGATCCCTTTGGATGAGCTCAAAGCTGCGGTAACTAACAAGACCCGAGCCATCCTCATGAACACTCCGCACAACCCAACTGGGAAGATGTTCACGAGAGAGGAGCTTGAAACCATTGCATCTCTCTGCACTGAAAATGATGTGCTTGTGTTCTCGGATGAAGTATACGATAAGCTTGCGTTTGAAATGGATCACATTTCCATAGCTTCTCTTCCTGGTATGTACGAGAGAACCGTGACCATGAATTCCCTGGGAAAGACTTTCTCTTTAACGGGATGGAAGATCGGCTGGGCGATTGCGCCGCCTCATCTGACTTGGGGAGTTCGACAAGCACACTCTTACCTCACATTCGCCACATCAACACCAGCACAGTGGGCAGCCGTTGCAGCTCTCAAGGCTCCAGAGTCTTACTTCAATGAGCTGAAAAGAGATTACGCGGCGAAAAAGGAGATTCTGGTGAAGGGTTTGAAAGAAGTCGGGTTTAAAGTGTTCCCGTCGAGCGGGACTTACTTTGTGACTGCGGATCACACGGCATTTGGATTGGAGAACGATGTCGCCTTCTGTGAGTATCTTATTGAAGAAGTTGGGGTCGTTGCGATCCCGACTAGCGTCTTTTATCTGAATCCAGAAGAAGGGAAGAACTTGGTTAGGTTTGCGTTCTGTAAAGACGAAGAGACGTTGCGTGGTGCAATTGAGAGGATGAAGCAGAAGCTAAAGAGAAAAGTCTGAAGTTTGAATTAGAAAATACTCTTTTTTTTTTTTTTTGGGCAAATACTTTATTATTATGTTGTTGTCTAACTTGTGTTCCTTCTTCTTCGGTTCCATTTGAGGACAGACTTTTGATTAAGCAAAGCAAATTAATAAAGTAAAGTTCACGTTATCAAATGCAATAGTCTTTCACTCTTTTGTTTAATAAAAATTATTACATTAAGTTGAATATTCTCTGAAACACTGAAATTATTATAATTTTGCAGTCGGATTATCTTTTCTAAAGCCGAAAGTTAAAAAAAAAGTAATTGAATGCATCAGAAGAACTTAGACTTTAGATCTCAGTGAAAGCGATGTTAGCTTAATTGATCAAATACTAGAAGAAAACCATTTTTAATCTAATGTCTATACTCTATAGCTTAAGGTTGTCGTTTTCTATCTTTTGAAAAGAACATTATATTATTATAAATGTCATTAGCCTCCGATATAGTCATATAACGTTTTCTTTTTTTTTTTCACTGAAAAATAGATTATAGATTAATTTTTACAAAACTAAGGATTAACAAGATAATCTCAAAAATTAAGCCGACAAATAACATGATATTTTCGGAATCTAAAGCCCAAGAATATGGAAAGCTTACAAACACAACTTCAAATGCATAACAAAGCCAAATACAAAGAGGGACAAAACAGAAACTGAAACATGGAAGATCAAAAACTATAACCAGAATCTAACACAAGAGACTTTGCCTACCATCTATCCAAATAAGAGAAAAGCTTGCAGTTGAGGCTAAACGAAGGGGAAGAGCAAATCCACAACATCGGATAGCGACTCCTCCTATGACAAATGAAAACTACCTTACAAATCAAATAATTGCAGCATTCCAACCAGTAAAAAGAAAACCAAACACATCTCCTGGAAATTAATAAATTTGATATATATACATGAAATTAATAACGTTTCTAATATAGATAATTCGTAAAATTAAGTATCCGTAATATATAAGACATTATATTTGAAATTAATAAATTTGATATAAAATATTGTCCCATGTGAGAATTTTAAAAGTAAATAAATCGGAAGGCCTAGTAATGCGGAGTGCACCATGCGAGGATGTTTGGTAGTAAATATGTTTTTATTCACAAATTTGATCAAAACCCATTTTTTGTGTTTCTTCTCTTTATTGATATTTTTATTTCCGTATCAAGTAATTCATCTTTACCGTCCGATTAGTAGATTACCTACACTTTACAGTTTTCACCAACTATCTTCTTCCCAATATGAATCGTTGATTTTATTTTAGTCTATAGTCACACTTTTTCTATTAATAAAATAAAGTATACTTACTATGAATATATATTAAAATTTATAAATATTCTATTGAAAGTCCAGTTCAACTGTTATATTAATATAGAAAATTCTCCCAAAAAGCAGAGATTTTTTCAGCAAATTTTTAATTTAAAAAAAAACGAAAAGTTATTTTTATATGTTCAAATTAAAAATAGTGACCAATAGATGTGTGTGTAGCGGCACGTGCCGGCCTGCAACAGTAAAGCTAAAAAGCGTCCGGCTCCTAATATTCCCCGTCAAGACCGTGACTTCTTCTTCCTTAACTCAGATCTAACGGCTATTGTTATTTCCTTTCGTTAATCAACCGTCAGATTTTCATCTAACGGTCAATATTGAATCTAACTCCTTTTTTATTGTCTCTTAAAATAATCCCAAACCCATTTCAAAGCTTTCTCTCTCTCTCTTTCTCGATCTCTCTTAAGCAAAGTGAGCTTCTTCTTCTTCTTCCTTTTTTTAGCTTCGCCGTGAAAACTCTCCGGTAGGGGAAACAAAAAAGGCAAACAAGAACAAGATTTTGCTGGAGTTGAGAGATCTCTCTTCTTCTTTTCCGTTTTGCGATGCTCGGCACGGTGGTGCAGTGCTGGTTAACGTATTACCGTTTAAGATTTGGCCGGGAAAATCGAGAAAGAAAGTGGTGATTTTACCGTTTTTGTTTCTTGTTTTTTTTTCGCGGAGATGAGCCAAAAGAAACTGACCAGGACTCAATCGTCGTTACTCAGATCATCTCCGACGATTCGATCGTCGATTCAAAGCCTTTCTTCAATCACTGAATGTGATGACTTCAACGAAATCTCTCACCACCGCCGTGAACAAGATCTAGAAGCCGGTGAGAAAGAGGAGAAACAGAGGAGGAGAAAACCGGTTAAATCATTCGGGTCGATTAACCGAATTAAACCGGGTCTCGCATTCACACTCGCCTGTCTCTCTTTCCTAAGTCTCTCATCTTTCTTACTATTCTTCATTGATGAGATTTTCACGTCGGAGAATCTGTTACTAGGTTTGATTTTCGTCGCTCTTGCTCTGTTCTTCGCATCGAGAAACATGGCGGTTATTAACCAAACCGTAATCGCAATCAAACAGATTCGCGTAAGGTCTCGAATCAAACACAAACATAAACCGGTTCAATGGTACATCGGAGATACAAAACCGGAACCGATCAAAGAAGAAGCACAAAGACTGGTCGTGAAAGAAGGAGTTCAATATTTTAGCAATGGAGATTCTACGAAGGTGAATTCAACAGAGGGAAGTGTAACGGAAGTGGAGTGTACTATTATTTCGTTAATGGAAGATATGAAGGAGATTGGATCAATGGAAGATACGATGGTTATGGAATCGAGTGTTGGTCTAAAGGAAGTAAATATAAAGGACAGTATAAGCAAGGACTTAGACATGGTTATGGAGTTTACTGGTTTTACACCGGAGATTCTTACTCCGGTGAATGGTTTAACGGTCAAAGCCATGGCTTTGGTGTTCAAACTTGTGCTGATGGTAGCTCTTTTGTCGGAGAATTCAAATTTGGTGTCAAACATGGACTTGGTTCTTACCATTTCAGGTAAAAACAAACAAAAACTTGCTCGTACATATAAAGATCTCTTTGTTTTATTTCTGAGTTCTGATTTATGGATTTGGTGTTGTAGGAATGGAGATAAGTATGCAGGAGAGTATTTTGGAGATAAGATTCATGGATTTGGTGTTTATCATTTCGCTAATGGTCATTATTACGAAGGAGCTTGGCATGAAGGTCGTAAACAAGGCTATGGCACGTATAGATTCAGAACCGGTGATATTAAATCCGGTGAATGGGACGATGGTAGTCTCGTTAACCATCTTTCTCCAGACTCTGACCCGGTTCGTAGAGCGGTTCAGGTATTTTTTTTTTATATCTATAGTATACCAAAAGGATGGATGAAACTTTTGGTATAAAAATTAAACATTGTTTGGATTAAACGTTACGTAATGGTTTAATTACTTGCAGAGTGCTCGAGAGAGAGCGAAGAATGGAGTGAATCAGAGACGGGTCGATGAGCATGTGATACGAGCTGTGGCTGCGGCCAATAAAGCTGCGACGGCTGCTAGAGTTGCAGCTGTGAAAGCCGTTCAAAATCAAATGGATGGTAAAATTTGTGACAATTAAAGATGACATAGAGAAATGTTTATATCTCTTTTTTTTTTTTTATGTAGCCCTGGTGAGCTTAAATTATGAGAAGCTTTACTATGGAGGGTTTTTTTACATTTTTTTCTAACTAATGTAAATGTACATAGAAGAAGTATTGTTTGGCTTTTCATTTTTGTAAAAGAAAAAAAATATGTGGATTATTGGATTGATGTTTTGATATTGATCTCAATCACTGACAGATAGATTAGATTTTTTTTTTTAGTTTGATACATTATCCTTAAATCGGAATATGTGATTCGTTTCGTACTTGATTTGATCTCCCTTTTTAAGAAAAAATTGGATTATAGTAGTATTATTATATTATTACTATCAAGGAAAAGAGAGTAGACGAAATGACGAATCAATGAAGAAGATTCTTCGAACTCAGACTTGTCAACGTATAGGCTATAGTAGCCATATCAAGTAAAAACTATAAAATCAATGGATCGATATGGTTATTGGCCTGTAACTCTTAAGTAGTCTGACCAAATTAGTTGCCAAAAAATCCAAACGAAACTCATTTCGTATTATGCATGTATTAGGTGAACGCATTAAATATTTCTGCCATTTCTAGTGTGTTTGGAACTATAAGAATCCCTAGTTTAAACAAATACTACATGTAGAAATTAATCATTGCTTAAGCTAAATGTTTAGAGCTGTTTGTGTGATGTTTTTTTTTTTTTATATACCCGATCGGCTGATCTAGTCAGCCTCGACAGGAACGCACCGGAGTGCTACAGAGTGGACTCACTACCACCCCGAAGGATGGACTACCACACTGCCTGATACGAGTTTAGAATGCTTTTCGACTAATGCCCGGGGGTAGCTGGATCGCCTGTTACTAGATTACCAGGTAAACTGCCTGGGCCGAAGTCCAAGCCCAGACTTCCCAACAAAGTGTTGATAACAGCGAGGGAGGAAGATTGAACCCGGGTTCGGGGATTTCACCCTCAACTCCGGGCTTCGCCCTACCACTCGCCCACCACCTTGCGGGCGTTTGTGTGATGTTGGTCTCACAAAATAATTCTCTTGTTGATATAGGTTAAATCCTACTAATTACTAATTTCCTTTCTTGGCTTTTCACCATTGTAAACGGTTTAAATTGTAAGAATATCCAGAAGTAGAAGCTCGATTTCGATAACATAAGAAACTATATAATGGAGTTGGTTTATGATTAAAAAAAGCAACAAGTATATTAGTAGTTTTGAAAAGAAAAAAATAAAGAAAAAAGAAGACATTCTTGAGTATACGAGCTGATATTATCTCAATGCGTCATCTTATGTACTCCGTTGATTTTTCAGTTAAAAGCATAACCCGAATATTTAAAGGTGATACCTAAGCTATTAACTGGAAAATCCAATCTTAGGTATAAAACTATAATGAGATTGGATATGAATCACAAAAATAAAGTATAAAACTATTTAAACCGTAAAATTATGAAAGTACTTCTTTCTAGTACATAATTTAGAGGTAGGTGTGGATGTTAGTTTTCTTTCGTTTATTTAAAATAAGTACTTCTAAATATATATATCTTTATTGAAGATAAATTATTCTATAAATATATATCCTTTATCTTGATTCATTTGTTTATCTGGGCTGATTCGTATCAATATGTCTTGAAAGAGTAACATATTTTGCGTGTGTGGTGAATCGAATAATTGGTATAGAATTGTTTGATGTCATGAAGATCCTGTGGTAATTTTGCTTACATCAACAGTTTGACTCATATCTTTGGAGGTTCAAACTTTGCAGTCTCTCTACTCTAACCACTCAACATGCAATATTCCTTTAAGAAAAAAAAATAGTCGGTCTAATTTTCAAGTTCGATAAACAGAAAATGTACTGTGTCCTATAAATGAAATTTCAATCGCAATAAATATTTGCCCTTTAGCTATGAGCCTATGAGTAACAAGCATTTATTGAAATTACTGATATATATTTACTCACGACACGTAATTTATTACTTTGATTGGTCGACAACAGATTAAGGCTGCCATACTATTCAATATACGACATCTATGCACAGCCAGTAATTTGGATAATTGCACGAATACCACTTGTTTGGATTATTTGAATTTGATAATCAAAACTTTAATATCGAAAACAATTAAAAAAACATTTGTGGACGAGAAGACAATACTTGCTTAATTATGTAGTGTACATTAGCTTAAGATGAGGTGGTAATGGTATAGTTATTACGTAAAATTTTCAAATATATCAACAACTGAATAAATATGCTATTTGTATTCCATGGTTTTAGACTTTTAGTGGCGAAAACCAAATACACGTTTATATATCATAACTTAAAATTAGAGTTTTGTTCTGCATAATGAAAAATGATTGTTTTACTAGCATATTTTTTATAATTTTATAAGATTTCATCATTCCATATGACATGCATAAATCTATTGCCTCGTTTTTCTACAAAATTTATTAAATGCAAAGAGTAAAGGCATCATATACTAGTACTAATAATTTTGATGGTTTGTTTATTAAACTCAGTACTCACATATTGAAGATTTTTAAATGAAACTAATGAAGGAATTGATGAAAGTGCTGCTTGTCCAATGAGGTTCGTTGTTTGACCCAAATCATATTGGTCAAATGGCTTTCCACGCGACACTCCGTATTCAGTGATTAAAAAAAAAAAAAAAATTAAACCTCTCCAAATTATGAATCAAACAGTGCAGCCAAATGGTAAGAGCATCTCCAACAGTAATGTCTGGAGAAATGTCTCAAGATTAAAAAAATAGAAAATAATATAAAAGTAGGAGAGAGTGTAGACACAGTTTCTGGTTTGAGAAACTGTGTCTCTACTTGTCATTTTATTATTGGCAATTCTTTTTTTTTATATAATTTATTTTAAATAAATTATTTATTTATTATAAATTGATTAAAATAGTATTTTTGAGACACCCACACAGTGTCTGATGAATGGAGATGCTGCAACCTCTCGTCAAACTCATATTCTCTCTTTCTCTTTTTATTTGGATCACTGATATTTCAAGCTGGTTGCTACAAAACATGGAAAGTAGACAACATAATTACAAGTTGCATTATTAACACTCAAATTTTAAAAATAAAAGCAAACCGACTTTTCCATTTTTTGTCACCTCGAGTTTGGCAATTACCACCTTTTTATGGACCATTTCATTTTTCAATTGGCCCGCTCCTATCTGTATTATCAAGTGTATAACATATACTTCGCTGTTTATAATAGTTCGATTTTTTGGAGTTTTCACACATATTAAAAACACAATCATTATTTAATTCTTCTAACATTGTTTTTAATCAAAAATATTTTTAATAATTATCAGCCAATAGTAGTCTAAGAAAGTTAATGATTTATAATCATTGTATCTTGAAGTTTACAATTTATTATTATAAGTCAATAAAAATAAAATAAAAATATTAGAAAATCAGTCTTTGTGGAACAAACAACAAAAGCTAGAACATTAATCTTTAAGGAACAGAGAGAGTATCTATATACATATAAAAATATAATGATAATGAAACAACAAATATATGTTTGGCTGATGAAAGTTTAAATATTTTCTATAACAAAAAAGTTTTATATATTTTGTTACTTACAGCTTCATCAAAACCTTTTTCTGTAAAGGAAATGGGCCGACGAATCCGAACATCAAAAGGCAGCGACGTTGAAGCCATGGAAACAGAAATCTGGCGTGTCGCCCAATACTACTTAGGCCGTGTTCTTTTGCAAGTCGCGAGCGATGAAAATTACACTTCATTTTTTTAATTTTTGTCGCTCGTATGATGGTGTTGTCGCTGTAATTTTCAGCGATCGATATTAGCCGACGCAGCGACTCAACATCTCTTCATCTCTCATCGGCTTTTACCTGTAACTTGTCGCTCGCTTGAGATTTAATTAAAAATGAAGTTGTTTTTTAAGTCGCTCACTTGTGTCGGAGCGGCACACAAAAGAACACGGCCTTACTGTTAGATTATTATTATTAGGGCTTTAATATGTTAATTGGACTCTTTTCATTAGCTCCGTCTCTCATATTGGGCCTTAAATATCAAGAAGTTGGGAATTACAAGATTTGTATAAATTACCCAAATTACGATACTTTCATGTGTGTGTGTAATAAATAAATTGAAAAGAAAAAAAAACACACATGAAAAAGTCAAGTGTCAAAAAAGCCCTCTTGTCCATGTGGATCTTCTTAAATTAGTGTGTGTATATTTGTATTTTAAATGTTCATACATAAAGAAACAACAACGTCGAATGATAATCGATAAGTTTAAAAGAATAAATTAAATGAAATAATGTGAATTGAAAGTGTTTCGTAGTATAATAATATTGACCGTTGGATCAACTGAAACTCCATAGCCGAATATCAACATCGTCGTAGAAGTCATCCATCGAGCTATTTAACTGTGGAGAATAATCAAACGGAGCTCCGTTGGTGAATAACATCTCATTATGTTCAAATTCATACCATGATGGATCCATCAGAGACACGTGTTCCTTGTAGTCCACGAAAGATTCCATCAACGATACCAAATCACTATCGTCATCATTATGATGATCATCATCTGGTGGAGAAGATGCAGTTGAAGAAGAAGGAGATGGATGGCGATGGAGTCCGTCATCATGAACATCCTCATCGGAGGGATGGGTAAAAGGGTCAGTAGAGAAGGAGTTAGCGGCTTGAGCGGCGACCTTTTGGATGGATTTGGGGGAGAAAAGGGTATTTTCATCGATGTTCATAAGAAAAGGAGAAGTAGTGGTGATGTTAGGGAAGTTGAGATTAGCTTTAGGTCCCTTAAGACACAAGAGAGCAGCGTCGTAAGCCCTAGCAGCTGCTTCTGCGGTGGAGTAAGAACCTAACCAGATTCTTGTCTTTTGGTTTGGTGCCCTAATTTCAGTAACCCATGATCCCCAACTTCTCATCCTCACTCCTTTGTACTTCTTTATCTTGTTCTTACAAGATTGATGAAGTAGCCCCGACGTCGAAGAAGAAGAAGATGAAGAATGAGAGAGTGATGATGAGGAAGTAGTAACTTGGATCTTGAGTTCTTGTTTCACCATGTTATGTGGTGATGTTGTTATTGACTTGGATATGCTTGAACAAGTGTTGGGGAGTATAAGATAAATGTATTCTGGATGGCAAATAATGTCAAGGACATGAGATTATATATAGCATGATTTGATTTGGGGGAATTGTGAATTTGTGATAGAGGGGGACAATAATGTGTATTTAATAAATTTAAAATTTGGTCAAATGAAATAGTATCGTTTTTGTGTATGAATACGACGTTTTGGGTGCATGACAGGTGTTTTCTTTAATAAGTATTTTTCACCCGCGTAATCACAAATGGATATGTCAGATTTTGTTTCTTATATATAGTAGCTATAATCCTATTTAATTATAAGAATTTATTTTGGTACCAAGATAGATCATGGAAACGAATCTCAAACTAATTTATGAGATATGCAAAAAGCTAAATTCGAACTATAACTTATATCAACAGAGACATTCTCCACCACTTGAAAGCCGAATTATTGAAGTAACATTCCAATACGTTGTTTTCTTTTGACGTTTGATGAAGGTTAAAGTTTACATGTATAAAATCTACTATGATGTATTAGTATCAAATATTGGTCTAAACTTGAAACTAACCAGTGAGTTAATTTTGAAAGCAAAAATCTTTTTTTTGGTAAATGTATAGTATCTCTGATGAGTGCACAGCTAGCTGTACGGAAGCCAGTACTTGATGGTGATATCGAGGATTACTTTAATTTTAATTTGAGGGTGAGACTATTATATGTAAAAAAGAGAATGAAGTTTATATGTTGATGACTTATAGTTATAGCTATCACTTTCCGGAATTGCAAATTACAGCTGCATTTGAATGTGTCAAGTCCTAGGATCTTTCGAGGAAAGAAACCCTTTAAGCCTGCTCATTAGTCTATGTTTATTTTTAGTTTCTATTAAACGATAATAATTTACATTGTGTTTTAATCAAGGGTTCAGCAGTTGAAAGTCCGAATATAACAAGCAAAAGAATGCTAATTATATTATTATATTTTCAATATTATTATTTCTAAAGGTTCATTTATTTACTCAGATTGACGTTTATCAAATTAAGAGGGTTTCCTCCTAATCTACAAGACATATTTGGTCTAAATCTAACATTTTATTGTAGCAACTAACGCGTAACTTTTGTTTGTAAACTTTGTCTTTATAAATATATATTAGATTTACTAGGCTAAATTGTTAAATTAGTTTTTGTTAATACCAACAATAGAAGAATAATTATTGATTGATAATTGAAGATTATATATAATTTAAGAAATAAAAACCAAAAGAGAAGAAAATACATAGGATTCTGATATGAAGGGACAAGGGGAGGCAGCTTCATGAAGTAGCATGTGAGGTCTCACAAACAAAGACGATAAATTAAAATAAACTTAAACCTTTTTTTAAACATTTAAGAAAAATAATTGTGTGTTTGGTGTACTATCAAATGTTAAAGATTTTTTTTTTTTTGAAAAAGAATGTTAAAGATATTTGAGAAATTAATATATAGTTAATGGAAATGGAAACGCGCAGCCAAATAGTGAAGGGAAAATAAATATTGGTTAAGACTGAAGTGATTCACTCACTTCAAACAACATGAGCTGTTTCCACTCTGTCTCGCTGCTGCACAAAACCGCGTTTTCTCTCACCCTTCTTAACTTATTTTAGTTTTGAAATTAGAAACAATTTTTTATTTATCTTTCGTGTATTTTTTCCTATCATACGTTCTCAACACTTCTAAGTTCTAACACACGCATAGAAAACGTAACAAACAGTAAACAGAGATATAGATAAGTCAAATATTAATTAATACAATTATGATGTGAGTTTGATATCAACGTAATCAAATAATCCGATGAGTACAACCCGGCCACTTTAATAATTTGTTTCGTTTTTCAAAATTTTAGAAAGAAAATAATGCGAAACAAAGTTACGTGGGATTAGAGATTATAAGGAATTCTGCACATATATGATAGTATATATCATGCCTACTTAAAGCCTACTTTAAGTTAACTTTCCCCTTTAATTTGCTCTTTTAGACATAGGAATTAGGATGAAGTCCGTTTTCTGAACTTTGAGGAGATTCGCCACGTCGAATCTAGCTAAGCTACTCAGCTAGATTTGCTTAATTTTATACATAAACAACCTAATTAAAAAAAAAATGCATGATTGTCTAAATTTTCCAAATTGCATCTATATAATAACAATCTTACAAGTAAGAGGATTGTAACTTAGTAGTTTCATGTCCTTGATAGTGTTGACTATAATATCAGGCCGACGCTTATCGACATGTAGCTATAAGGTGTTTGTTAAAAATATTTAGGATATTTCAAATAGATCTATATATACAATCTAATTTTATAAATCAAAATTGTATAATCACTGCGTATTTCAATTTTTTTATTTTTATTTTTTATTTAATTTTTCTGGTTTAGAAGACTCTCGATACTTATAAAAAAGTGTGAGATAACACCACAATAATATATGTGCATGCATGTGAGAATATGGAGATGTGTTGATAGATACTAAAGCAAGATAATGATTCAAAAGAAGCATGTGTATTTTGGCAAAAGCCAAAACAAACCTTATATATAGAACTTTAAGACACGCAAGAGCACATGATCGAAGAATTGAGAGATTGGCATGCATGTTCTTTTTGGGGACAGCCTTGACTTTCTCACAAAGCCTTGAGGGCTTATGAGACTTGTCTTCGCTTAGACATTTCACACTTTGGTCCTAAGCAAACCCTTAAAAAGGTCAAACAGAGGCCATTTTTGTCAGCTTTCCAGTCCACAAATATTTCTTTTTGTGCTTGAAGAAAATAAAAGCATCTCGAGGCTTCTTTCATTTTCATTATACGGTTTTGGCAATGAAGACGTTTTAGTTTACCCAAAATCACAAAATGGGCAGCTTCAATGGCACCGTACTTAGTTTCCCAACAACCGAACAAATGAGATGACCTTATTACCAATACAAATATTACTATCAAACAATATATTTTAGTCACCTCTGATTCTGAATATTATATATGTTGATAGATAGGTGTATATATACGATCAATTTATCATGGATAAAGAAACTGGTACGATAGTACGGCTTTGGCTTGAGGAATTTCGAAGAAGGTGCAAGATTGAGCGTTTTTATAGGTTGAAAATGCATAGTATAAAATAAAATAATTCATGTAGGGTTAGCTTAGCTAGATGCAAATAATTAAATCTTGCAGAATCAAGTTTTTTCTATTTATTGAAATTAAAGATGTGCGCTGAATAAAAATACATGCTTTTGGAGAAATTTCTAGGAAAGTGAAGATAACTTGGTTTCATCATTATGGCAGAGTTAAGTAGGTTCAACTACTTGTTTCTTTCAAATTTTCTTTTGTGCCGTTTGAACAAAATTACTAAATTAGTATTCCCTTTGTTCCTAATTATTTGATGTTTTGGGTTTTTCTCATGTTCCACCAAAATTGATATTTTATAAAATTATTATTCTTGTTTTTGTTTGTGACGAATAAAGAAAGGAAAGAAGTAAAACTAACATTATTAAACTAATAAAATAATAATTAAAAAGTATAAAAATTATACTTAATTTGTGTGTAAAACTTAAAACATCATTCTTTTAAGAACAGACGGCGGGATTTTATATCCGCATCTGATCCAAGTTTCATTTTAGTGCCCCCAGATAAAGGAGAGCTCTTTCTAGGGAGTATCGTTCAATACAATGTATATTTTTATTTCGGAAAACAACAAATTTAAATGGGTTTTTGTTATCCAAACTATTTGGGCTTCTTCGATTGAATTGGGTTGGGTTGCCCAAATTGGCCACCCTTACTTGGCAAGATTGTTAACCGGACACTTTTAAACCGGAAAAATCGTCAACCGGCCAGGCTTTCCAGTTTCCATACAAATTAATAATGACAAACCAAGGTAGTGTGTTCAGAGTTAAAAAAGAAAGAGAAAGAAAAGCCAATAATGAGATTGTCTTCTTGCATTCAAACTAAGAAAACAAAAAAGCAAGAAGCAGTGGAGATGAGAAACGCAATGAATGAGTAATAGCTCAATGGGCAAGAAGCTATAGAAATACTCCCGCCTGGACCATTAGCTGGATTCCCCGGGATTGAACTGCTTGAAGAAACCGTAGGTCCTCTGGGTGAAGCCGCGGGGACTGCGGCTATGGATGATCCTCCACCAACAATATCATCAAACTCTGGTGAAGGCGAAGGTGAAGGTGAAGGTAGATACATCAGTTCCTTTGGAACAGTATCAGGCGGGGCTATAAGCGGTGCTAATTGTTGCGGTCCTGCAAATTCGTTTCAGTTGGAGATCAATATTTCATTCATTGGGTTTATTATAAGGCATGAGACAGTATCCTTACCAGGGCATCGAGGTTGAAGCGACATGGATAACCTGAAAAACAAACCGAGAGAGATCGGTTAAATAGGTTGTTCAATTTATTAGTAGAGGAAATGCGATAAGGAAAGTCTCATTACGTGGTCAAGATAGTGCCGCTAGCAAAACCGTTGTAACTACAAGTAGTAAGTTTACAACCCGAGCTACTCTGCTGCGAAGTGATGTTCCCGAGCATGTAGTTGCTGTTTCTACATCGCATACTGGAACAAGAGACTGATATAGAAGCAGGCTCACAATACATACTGCATCACACAAATGCAAAAGATTAGCAAAACAGCCAAAATCCGACTAACAAAACTCAAATTGCTTAATACCTGCGGCTTCCGAGAACACAGCTGCATTGTACACAGTGGCCTGCGGTGAGAGCATAGCTTCCGTTTGGAATAATCAGTCCATAATCCGTAGCGTATTTGGGGAAATTTGAACTACAAGCTGAGAAGTTTTGATACAAATACACAAAACATTCAATATCTGTTGTAGTCTGTGCTTAATTGGCAAATTTCTATTCAAAGATTGAAACTTTAGAACTCTTAATGGCTCTGAATTTGAACTATAAGCTGTGAATTCGAACTTTCAAACTCAACAAAGAAGAGAGACTTTGGATCTCACCTAGCAATGGGACAGCGAGGATATCACCAGGATTGATATCAGGAGCTCCCATAGCATTTACATTTGTTAAATCCGTAACAGTGGTCGAGAATCTCTTTGCGATTCCAGCCATTGTGTCGATTCCCCTCACAAC